CCACTAGAACTAGTTGATCGTAACTATGTCTTAATCTGAATCCGAGTGCCAACAGATCCAGAACCATGTAGCCAAACTGCAGGCATCCTGTTGCCGCAGAAACCTATAGACCGAAGCCTGTCAATGGACAATCCCCAAACCGAACGGAGCCCAGCCCAAACGCCTCGCAGCGCTTCCTTACTTCTGGCCAGTCAAGCAGCTCTGCAAAGTGACGGGCCTGTCGCAGAAATGTTCCAGAAAGTCCTTCGAACATGAGCCCATCGTAGTCTCCTCACGTGGAGCCCCCTGGAGGTTTTCAACTTTGGGCTCATGGTTTGGGGGCCAAGTACACAGGCAAGCCCACTCGAAACCTCACACACCTGTAAACTCTCAACTTTGGCGGACGATTCTCGACCTTAGCTCCGTCTCGGTAGACATTAGGAAGGGGATGTACACCTGGGACCTCCCACCGAACACTCCTTTGTTAACATTGAGATCGCACTTCAATTACCGCAATGGAGATAACAGTAGAATCTGCATGTGTAAGAAGCCGGAACCTTAAAGCCTGGAGCTCGAAAATCTCACAGCCCAAGCTCCCTTTCCTTCCCTGCTTTCGCAGTTGCCTCCAGAATGTAGTCAGCCTGGCACGAACTCGGCAACACTTCAACGCATTGGTGGGCGCAGTTCCGCGATTATTTCACGCGGACACACACACACACACTCACTCACTCACTCACTCACACACACACACACACACACACACGTTATGCTACTCCTATCCTGAATGGCGGTCAGAAGATGATGTTGCAGCAGACGGATCCAGTTTCCTCTGACCCATGCGCGAAAAAGCAGCTTCTTCTTGCTGATTCCCTCAAGCAGAGGTTGACAACTCGAACTCGCAGAATTAAAACTCAAAAGTCGATCAGTGGCAGCCTTACCTGGCACCTGCATTTGTACATGAACAGTCTTTTTCCCTGAGCCTCCACTTCGTCTGATCCATAGCGAAGACGCAACAACATCATCGTGGCCTCTATAGAGGCCATGCAAATGCCAAGCAATCTCGATCAAAAGCTTTACTGTCCCTTTCTGTTCCGCTGGATGTGTGAGGCTCCTTGCTCTCGAGACACTTCGACTGCCTGACTAGCTAGCAGCTAGCTTCCATTGTGGACGCCAATCCACTTTCCCGGAGTTTAGCAACGTGCCTGGGCGCACAGCTTGAAGCAAAGCATGGACTGAGGATTATAGGCCTTATGCATTCCATCCAATGCGGATTGCTCGGTTGGAACACCAGGCTGCGGTTATGGCAGGCACTGCAGGCAGCCAACACGGCAAGTTTCGATTTGACCGTACATGAGGAGACAAAGGGTTGTGAAGCTCTGGGAGGGGCCTGCCAACACCCATGTCCGGCCTCTTGGCTGAGCCCTTCTGGCATGGCGATGACAGGGCCTGAGCAGGAACTTGGGCTCAGAACGAGTGGCCAGAATCAGCCCGTCAGCCTGAGAACAATCCGAAGGCGAACCTGAAAGTTAAACAGGAATACCTAAACCCAGGGAGAGTAAAGCCCCATTCCCTGAGAAGTCATCAAACCCAAATCCTTTGACATGCCGCCTCCTCCAGAGTTCCCAGCTGGCCAGCGGAAGGCAGCAGCAAAGTAGTGTCCATCCTGGCTCCAGAAGCTTTTGACCAAATCAGGAGACCTCGCATAAGTCTACTGTGGAGAAATGGAGGGGTGTTCCCGGCTGGAGCCCAGGCTTACATCACCTACAACCTCAAGACCGAACTTCGCAAACTCGAGTTCCTCAAGCCACAAAGCAGAAAACCTTCAACGGAAATCCCAGCAACCCTATACCCTCACCCTCTACCCTGTAACTCCCCACTACCCATCCGCTCCTCGTCCCGGGGTCCCGCGAGCATACAGCGGTGGGCGGGAACCTGCAGGACAGAGATAGACTGAGCGCCAACAGAACCGCAGCAACAGCCATGAAAAAAAAAGAAGTACACTAGGCGGTTAGCAAGCGAAAGCCGGTTAATTTGATAAGGACTTGCCTTGTTCGGAGAGTGCGCAGGATTTGGGGCTTCAGCACATGAGGTTGTCATGCCTCGGGGTGTAATTGAAATAACACCTCACAACTGCTGGCATTCCCTGCCGATCCTGTTTTGCCATTCGTGTCGCGCAGGCTTTTCCCTGGCTTGTTCGTCTCATGCGGCTTTGTCGGTTCCGTCCGTGGGTCGCCGGTGGCGAGACCTTGCTGAGATCCATCAAACAGCTGCTTCCTCGCCACTGTCGTGTCTGGAATATCGCCAGAGGCAGAGTTCAAATCACCGATGGACGCGAGAAACAGCTGGAAGAAAGGGCGTTTGGAGATGCAGATGCGGTGATGCAGATGCTGGCATGGCTGCGCCGGAAGTACCAGCTCTTGAAAGCACTGGTGCCAGGTCCGAGAAGAGGCCGCTGGAGGAGGGCTCCTGCGAACTCTCCCAGCAGATCCGCTCCGCTCCATATTTTAACGGTTTTACTGTAGGCACTGTAGGGTTTAGGTGTACCCAACATAGTTTTCGTTCCCCTCTTCAGATTCTATCCGGTTCCTTGCATCGCCCGATGACTTCTGGCCGAGTTACACAATTCTAAAGCCTGGCCTGCACACACTCCCATGCCCCACCGTTCCACACCCTGAAACGCACGTACGTACTGAGAACCAGATTTGGATTACAAGCGGCTCTTGCCGAAAGCAGTGAAGGCTTCACCCGCTGCAGCACTCCTGCCATTGGCATCGTCAGGAACGACACCGTGGCCTAACTGGTGCAGGAGATCACATCGCAGCGTGGTGGAGAACAGGTTCATGTAGTCCAAGATCATGCCTGGCCCAAGCACACGGAGGCCCTTCCAATTATGAACCTATGTTGCGATTCAAATCGCCCTTTGGTCGTGATGGAGCCCTTGCACGAATAGTAGGCATACACTCGTACACAGACTCAGATCCGCAACGCTCGAAATTGAAAGGCCGTAGATCTCAGAAAAAGTTCAGATGGGGGCTTCCCGAGAGAGTCCTGAACTGGAAGAACCCTACAAAGTGCTATACAGGCACAATTGAAACCATGTGAAAGAAATATTCAACCGCGAAGCTTCAAGTTTATAACCAGACCGTTTAAAGACCGCTCGGTTCTCTGGTCTCTTTTCAGAATCTCAAAGGAGACACCTAGGCCGAGGAAGTTTCTAGCTGAATGCTCTATGCAAGCTGACCTGGAACGCCTGTTAGCTTTACGGGAGTGGGCGCCATGCTACCACAATGATGAATCATCTCACGCATTCATATAATGAGGTTATTGGATAATCAGGACTCGAGGAAATATGGCGAGCCTTGAATTGAAAGGCCATCGCCTCTGATCTCCTAGACCTAGTCACAATCCACCCTGAACCGTTGTTTTGAAGCGATCGCCTCAAGGTCTTTGGATCGACAGCTTAGACTGGATCGTCCAGGGCCTTGGCATGAGCTTCACCTGAGCTTGGGTCGCCTTTTCAACTTGGCAGGGGACTGCTGGGGAGGGCGGGGGAGGGGATCTGTCTGAACTGGCCTACCTTTTAGAAAGTCCGGCATGCACTACACTACCACTACAGCCCCAAACTCGAGCTATTGCAGACCGCGTTCAAGGGTTCTCAGAAGGGTTCTGGGAGGCGGATGCTTTGGGGCTGAACATGGTGTTAGACCCCGCAACAGCAAACCCGATCCCGAAATCCTTCTCATCTGACGAGTTATCAGCAAGGCGAGTCGCAAGGAGCGTTGTCTAACATGTCAAGTCGCATCGGCACGCGGACACAAAGCCTAAACACGGTTGAACCTTCTACCCACAACCCACAAGTCTTTGAAGGGCGAGCTGCACAATCAAGGGTCAAACTCCATAAGCCTTCAACCGTTGGCTACTGGTAGCCAACCCCGTCCTTGCTCCGAGGCACACAGCAGCTGCATCAACTGCTGCCGCTGCTCGTCTGCCTCACTCTCCGACATGACATGGACGTAACTTCTGCTTGGGCATTTCGGACCTTGTCTGAAAGCTTCAGTCCTCACTGGCTATCTATCATAGCGTTCTTGGTCGAATCCTCTTCGAAAAAAGGCTTTGCGGCTTCAAAGTGTGCCGAACTGTTGTGGGCCTTTGCCGACAGCTCTGCCTGCTTGCCCCTCTCCAACGCAATCTGCATGGTGAGGTCCTCCTGATCAGATCACCGAGCGAACTCGGTATGGGCGTGCGTCAACAGCTTGATTGCCTACTTTCTCGCATCCAAAGTCAGACCAGACCAGAAGTGCCAGGTACATCGAAAAGGAGCGTCTACCGAAGGTTATCTTTGCTGACCTGCGAGGGCAAGTGAAGTTGCAAACAGTAGCATGCCGTTCCAGAGACTACAGTACGGCACATTTCACGACAGCGAAAGTCAAGACTGAAAGTTGTGCTGCACGAGCATTCTAATTTTGCACAGAAAATAGTGGTGGTTCCTTCTCCTTGCATTCAGTGCGTGCTCCCAGGGTTCTTGCAGACACTCTAAGCGAGACTGAACATGGAACCCTCTGCAATCACAAGCAGCATTCTAATGCAATGCATAGAAACAGAAAGCTACAACCTCAAGACCAGGCGCTCAGACATAACAGACGGCTTCCAGGCGTCTTCGGCGGCTTTCATCAGGTCTCAGTAGATCAGCTTCTTTGGGCTTGCTTCAGGATGGGATGGCCTCGATGGCAGAAGCGCTCGCCTTTATGTGCTGAAGCTCCTGTGCATTGGGGTTTGGGATCTGGGGAGGGGCTCGCAACTGCGCGGCAGCCATTATCCTTGTTGGTGCCAATGCGGATGGCAATACACTGCCATGAAGGTCACGATAATGAAGATTGTGATGACGAGTTGAAAGGGTGATGTGCTGATGATCTTGATGATGACGATGACGACGACATCCTTGCTGGCCGCTGTCAACACATGTGTATGTCTGTCTCTATTTCTTTGTTTATCTGCATTGCCGTGTGCCCCTCTCGGTAAGTTCAGATCGTGCACCGTGGCCGCTCCTCTTCCACGGCACGCTGCAAGGCCTCCTTGCGCAGCGCCGCCTGGGGAGCAGACATTTCTACAGCCATTGCTACTGCACAATTCACAGTACACTATAACATATGTGCAACCACAACATAGTACAGGGCAGATGAATGAATGTGGGTATAGGTGTTTACACACACTTTCATGCATTAACTCACACATAAACACAGACACACATACACAGACACACACACACACACACAGAGACACACACACAGACACACAGACACAGACACAGACACAGACACAGACACAGACACAGACACAGACACACACAGACACAGACACAGACACAGACACACACACACACACACACACGTTATAGTACCTATCAAAACAAAATAAGTGTTACACACGCCTACTACTTTTTAAATCTTAAGCCCGAATCTTCCCACGTTAGTCTGGACCCTGAACCGCAGGAGCCTCTTGACGCTGATGCTGTAGCCGGCGGACGGCCTTCCAGCGGAAACTCCAGCAACCACAATTGCGATCGAAGGACGAGAAAGCACTCCGATTCTTACTCTGCGGCATCTCCTTCACAGTTGCTGATTGCAAGTTGTTCTACTTGTCCTTGTCCTTATCCTTGTCCTTCTCCTTGCGCGTGTCCTTCTTGTTCTTGTTCTTACTTGCAATGCTCTTATTGGTCTTGTTTTTGTTCTCTTGCTATTATGGTTCGTCTTGTTGTTACTGTTGTTGTTGTGGTCCTCGTCCTCGTCGTCAGTTGGTCTGACCTTCCACGGCAACAGGCACCCTGATCCTCCAGTGGTCCAGAATGCCGCTGCCAGCACGAAACACTGAACCTGTTAAACTAGCGCGTCACAAACCAAGATGCCAAACCCTCAAGCTGAAAAAGGTAAGGAGAAACTACTGCTGCTCTTAAAGAGTGCGGTCAAGGTTGGGGCTTCATCCTGCCGAGTTCAGGTTGTACCAGGGATGAACTCGGCTGGAAGACATTCGATTCAATGTGAGCAAGCTTCCAGGATTGTGGTGCCTTTGAAGTGTGTTGGAACGTTCTGAGGCCCTTTGAGCTGGTGCTGTCGAGACTTCCAACGATGACAGCGTCACTCTGAAGGCGTACTCAACCTATCCTCCACTTAACACGGGAGAGTAACGAAACCCGACGACCCCTAAAGTCCTGCTACCAGTAGCCCCAACTCCCAATCCGGGATCTCGTGTCCCTGCGCCCTGAGCCTTTACGAAACGCTGAACTCCGAAAGGCTCCGAACACCAATGGCGGACCTCCTGCAAAGATGCCAGCTCAGTGGCTGCCTCCCTCAGCCTTGCCTCGATGTAAATGGGGGAGGTCTTAAGGCTGCTTTCCACGGTCATGGTTTAGGGGTTGAGGGCTTGGGCTTTGCAGTGGCTTAGGGTGTAGGACTTGATGCTCTTCTGCCGTTAGGAGCTTGTAGGGCTCGCAAAACTTGAAGCCATGTGCGGTTCGCACAGCGTATCCAGGCAGGCACGGGCGCCAATTCTGCCTTTCAGACCTGATGGAAGCCTGTCAAACCGTTTCGATAGCATAAGCTTTTGCGGGTCTCTTCTCTCCGTTCTAAGAAATGGTGGCCGTGACATGCGAGATACTGTATCCTGAAACTCAATGCACACAGAACGGCCACCCCTCGGAGGCTATCCCTTCCGGACAAGTCCATGTCAAGAGCCTTATTCTCGCGACTTATGTGGGCACATGTCTCAGACCGGAAAGGTCGCAGCACCCTGAGCTCTAAAAGCCTATACAAGCCATAGAAACCCGGTGTCAATTCTGTCAAGCGTCTTCCTGCCGAGACGATCCTGCGCGTTCAGGGCAGAGTATTCGTTTTCGATAAGGTTGTATGATAAGTGTGCCAGGATCAGGATAGTCCTGTTGTGTTGGTTTGGAGAACCTTCGAAAATCAAGCTGACGATAAATTCAGCACCTGTCTTTCACAAAGCCCTGAAACCTGAAACACCCAACAGCGACTGCACACCACAGCCTCCAGCAGTCTCTGAGGGGTAGGATCGGTTAGTTCAACACATTTCGAGGTCCTGCTCTTCATAGGACTCGGCTCATTCGAAACTTTTACAGGGTTTCCTATCTTCGGAACCTCCCACTTCACAAGTCCCCCAACTGTTCAAACCGGCCTTCCGACTTGCTCTTGCTCGACTTGCCCGCATCTTTCAAGGAATGCTTCAAGCCTCTCAGGGTCGAGCTTCGGCGATGCGGGGCTTCAGACTGATTGGGGCTCAAGTCCTTCCGTGGGCTGAGCTTCCTACTTGTGGTGGGCTTTGGTTAGCCGCAGGTTTCAAAACATTCATGAAACTTGCGAAGATTTCATCCTGGATACAGGCGGTTGGGCTGGGAGTGGGGCCTGCAACAAGTGTTTCCGACTGCGAGCCCCCCGGATGCTGAACCCCAAAGTCCTTGGGCCCTAAACCATTCAGTCCCACCATGCCTGACAACCATCCTCGACGGCCACTCTTCTTTCCTCGGGCTCATGCGCCAACGTGTAGAAGCTGCAACATGTCTCATTTGTGCCTGCAATGGGTCTCTTTTTTTGTCAAGCTCAGCACAGGCGCAGTGGCCTTTTTGCCACAATGCTGATCAGTTTGCCTCAGTCCGGTAGCCTCTGACATGACGAGGCACTCCGAACTTGAAGCCTGGGGTCGCCAAGCCCCTGAACTTTTCCGCAAAGGCCGGGATGCGTTGATAAGCGAGGTCCTCGAAGTTTGGGCTGCTCACGCATTGAAGCTTCAGAGGCCAGTCTCCTTGGCATTCAGCACTCGGGTTCCCTTCCGATTCCAAGTACTTGTGCCGATTTTGCCCATCTTCATCATGTCCCTCTCAATTTCAAGCTATACCCTCGCGCGCTACACTTGGTGCTAGCAGGTGCATACTTATGCTGCTTTGCGAGCACGCGGTCTCTCGCTTACATGCACGCTTGCATGCATGCGTACATAAATACAATGACATACACTGACATATAATGACAGACATACATACATGCACACATTCCAGTTCAGAGCATTCTGGGGACATGCATGCATACATGCATACATGCATACATGTATAGTTGCGTACATGCATACGCACATGCACGCATGCGTGACTATTAACACCTCATGTTCATATTGATTGCAAGTGTTAATATGCATACTCATAGCAAGCATGCCGTCAGTATTCGTAATCAGCCTGGCATCGGTACTGATATGTGTGTATCTTCTGCTCACATTGCATGGGTTCGCTTTATCTTCTTCTTTCCATCCTGGATGTTTCGAGAATATCGGGCCAAGGCTCCGAGTTGACTCCCGAAGAGACCAGGCAGACTCGGGGGATCCCCTGGCCAGTCGGGGAGCCAAAACTCCAGTTCAGGTGCCCTTTGAATGATGGTAGCAATTTGTGTCTCCAGCCTCTCCTTGCGATCCGGACGTTCGTTGAGGCTCAAGCAGGCAAACTTCAAGGTTTGCATGGGCAGCGACGATCGAAATGCGAGCAGGGTGCCTTCAAACAGGTCGAACTTCTGATTCTTGCTTGCCGCAGTGCGAAGATATACGAACCGTTGAAGGAATTGAAGCCCGGAATCTCGAATCGCTGTGAATAAGCTTCGCAATGTAAACTTGCGGTGCGGGTCCAAGATATCCAGGGCCACCAAAGAGCTCGACTGGAGAGCTGGCGTCAGGCTGCCCGCATCTTCGTTGATGTCTACTCGGACCAGGAGCTTCTGCAGATTAGGACAAGCCAAGGCCGATGCTAGCCTGCCTGGCCCCATCAAGATCTCTAACCGCGGAGCTTGGGGTTCCATGTCAAGAGGGAGAGTTCCAGACAACTTGCTCACATTCAGCACCCTCAGTCTGGGAAGCTCGAGTATTTCAGCCATTTTCTCTCCAGGCAGCTCTCCGATATGCAATTCGTGCAAGTGGCTGAATATGGGCACTTGTGCAAGCCAGCCAACCGTGGAGATGGCTATGACCCGCTTGCCAACAAGACCGCGCAGGGCAGGGCAAGCTGTACCGGAGAGGACTTGTTCGACGCTTTCCAGGCTCATCGCCCGCCACTCCGGAGAGGTGGCCCAGCTCTCGGCAAGGAACAAGCAACCCATCCCGCAAGCCAGCAAGTGGACAACCTCTCTGGGATCAAGCCACAGCTTCGCCACAAGATGCAGTCCAAGGAGCAAGGTGGTGGGTGGAGGTGGACCCGTTCTGTACAAGTCAGCCTGCTTTTTCAGCAAGTCCAATAGAAGCGTCGTGGAAACTGTGTGGCAGCGCTCCCGGCACTTTTCCTCTGCCAGAAGGACTTCATAGATCGAGCCGGCAGCATTGAGCTCCCGCCAGAACTGCGCCTCCACCTCATGCAGGTTCCGTCTGTAAAGATCCTGCAAGGTGGACGGGGAAGCCAAGATGCCCATGCTCCGTGCTTTGTCAGAGATTTTGCCGATCTCATCTTGGATTGGCGAAGATGGAAGCATACAGGTCGATGCTCCGGCCGGAATGGAGCTAAGCGCCGCCTGAAGCCTTTCTAGCGTGATATCCGTTAGCTAATGCATGCAAAGTCGTTACCACTTCATGCAGCAGGAATAGTACTTAGCCACGAGAATCTGCCCACGCCGGGAAAACCAATGGCTGCAGTTTGTGCCACGCTGTGGGAGCCATGCAGGCACAAGGATCACTGGGGCGAAGGTGACTTACTGCCGGGTGGCATCAGGTACACTAGTACACTTGCCTTGGCCTCCAAGGCCTTGTCGGTTTCTGCATTTCAAGAGCTTAATCTTAATGTCCGCAGCTAACAGTAAGCCTCCTGAACCAACCTAAACAGATTCTGTAGTCCGAGCTGCCCTTCGCTTCACCCGGGACCTGACACTTCGAAAACCCCATTCAGCAATCCTGGCAAGGCACCAAGCTCTCGCGGTCAAAAACCTGTCACCCTTGACGTTACCATCGAGGCCAAGGTTCTGGGAGAAGCTGTGGGCGACTGGCTAAGCGCAGCCTCAGCAGCATCGCCGGTTCCTTCCACAAGCTTCGGCTGTGTGAGGAGGTTTGAGCATACGTGAACCACATGGAATTCCTTCACCTCAACCGCGCTTCAAGGTGTGGGCTTGGTGAATGGCTGCAGGCTCTTTGACGACTGCGAGTCTGCATCGATAAGGCAACTCTTCGCGAATCTGTCGTGGAGCTTGTGGAAACAAAGGGCACGCAAATCTGCGGTGAAGCAAGTTGCTCGCTCTGAGACACATGTCTCTGCGTGTATAGTTGACTCAACCTGAACCTTGAAACTTATGTAGAGCAATGTAAACTCATCCACAACTCGCACCACGGCCGCCTCCTGCTTTCTCCTCCGCCAGCTCGTGCTGTGCGGCATCCAGCACAGTCTCCAGTGCACGCGCAGAGATGTGTGCTCGGAGCATCTCCTTTCAGCTTGGAGTTGAGGCTCTGCAGGCGATCGGCTCCACTCAGAGAGAGCTTGGCATCTTGCACTGGGATCTAACTCACTCCAACACTGCTGCAAGCTTGAAAGCACATGACGGGGGTTGGAATGCTGGTTCAGCTGGAAATCCACGAGCTCGTCGTAGTCAACAGGAACGTAGTCTCCATTGTGAGCTTGCCTGATTGAAAGCTTGAGAGATTGAAGGTGCAAAATCGAGAAACACTGCTGAAGATTTGAGTCCCAAAATCTCTAGTAAACCCCCCCAAACAGAAGCACCGCACTCCGACTCCAGAAAACTCTAGACAAGCAATTCAATCAACCCCTGAGCAGACCCAAGGAGTGGCATAACCGCGTTATAACCCTCCTCGCCTCGCTGCCCATGCTCCGGGACGCTGCGTGCTGCGCACGGGGATGCCCAAGTGCATGGAGTCGAAGTCTCGGAGCTTCTGATTAAACGCGTTGTATCATGCTTCGGGGTGTTCGGACTGAGGGTGTGTAAGGCTAGGGCGGCTAGGGATGGCATGGGCCTCAGGGGTTGATTCAATTTCGAGAGGGGAGCGAAGTGGGCTGCCAGGTTATGGCTTGACAGTAGGGCCAAACCGCTGTGAGGAAAAGACATGGTGCCAACCTCGCCAATGCGTCGATGGGATATTGAAACTGTTTTCCGGTAAGCCTGAAGTCCTGCAGCCTCAACGGGCCTAAACAATTCTATGGACGGAATCCCAAAAAGCCCCGCGTACCAAACCTTAAGACCGCAGTGAGGTGAAGCAAACTTCAAAGCCAATGCTTCTTCCAGTCCCGAAATCTGAACCGGTGAGCCTGAGTATAGCCGCAAACCTGGAGCCGTATTCCCGCTTAGCCCTGCCATGGCACTTCTGTCGGCAGCTCGCTCACCCTGCCTCATTCGATGCATTGGTGACTTAAAGCCAGTGACTGGCTGCTACAAGGACGTCAGGTGCCTTGCATGGGAGCTTGGGAAGAAGTACACCTTTGCTCAGCGCTGCGAACCTCAAACTTCGCTCCTGATTTGACTGCTCCAACATCACACCCTTGAACCACAAAAACAGAAAGGACCGTTGATGAAAACTACTGGCTAGTAGCTGTTCGAGATCGGCCTATCTACGGATGGACTTCTCGTTTCTGCCTTCTCCACAACCGAGGCCTGTTTAGTCGAACACGAGGTCCGAGTCTGGATCTCGACAGGCTGACTCTGGCTGAGAACCACTTTACAAACGACTTCGCCGGCTGCTAGCTGTTCCACATACGGCGCTGTCTTCGTGGCCTTCGGATAGACGCAACTTTCTGGAAAAGCTGATTCACCCTGAGAGGACAAGTGTATGCGACAAAAATGTTGACCCGGAAATGAACCAAACACGACCGGCAGTGATTGAGGTCCGTGCTGTGGCTCAGAGCCAGCTCCTGAAGCGGCGAAGCCGAAACAAACGGAAGTGCGATGCAAATATTGCAACTCTCACAAGGCCAAACTCCGAGGAAAGCCTCCGAGGCACAACATCCTCCTCCGACCGGCTCCGATTTCCAAGAAAGGGGACAAGGCAGAGATCAAAGTCCACTCAACACCCAACAGCCATGACCGATGACCCATCCCCAAGAGTCCCTGGATCCCGAGTTTTGGAAAGCTTTCGCACCCGTCCTCCCCCCTCGCGGCGGCGGCCACTCCAAACATGCCTCAGAGCCCGCAGGTCGGAGCGACTTGCATACTTCGCCGCTTACGACTTACGGCTGCGACATTGCAGCCGCTGGCTTGAGGCTTGGGGCTTGAGGATTTCGGGCGATTCTGGTTTCAGCGACAAGGATTGGAGCTTTGGGTTCGGTCGAAAGTTGACGGCTGACCCTCAACTCTTCGAACGGCCACTTCATCCACCAGGTGGGCATAGCCAGGCTCGGACGGAGTAGTGGGAACCAATAAGTGAGTAAACCAGAAGTCGAAGCCCTGAAACCCCAAGCCTGGAGGGCAGGGTCTCGAGGGCGGTGAAGAGCTCACCCAAGCCCGAGAGGCTGGTCAACCTGAGCGGCTTCTGGATTTCAGCCTTCGAAGTTTAAGGTAAAGAGTTTAGAGGCGTTTTGAGGGATTGCTTTTAGGGCTGCCGGTTTGGCTCGAATAAGGTCGATGACCGCTCAAAGCCGACGCTGACACCCGAGCCAGACTTCTGCAATGTGAACCGACGCAGCACGGTGCAAAGGTCTTTGGAGTGTTTCGGAGGGTGTTGCAAGTAATTGGTATCTGTAAATCTGTGGAGTCTGAAGCTCAATAACCAAAAAGCCTTGCATCGCATGGTCGGCTTAGGAAAACCCTCTACTAGTACGTCTCAAGATCTGAAGATGCAGTCCTGAACGGGCAGACGCCTTGCAGGACTTGGCATGAGCTATCCCTACGGAGCCACAGCATTCGAAGTTTAGCCATGTGCAGTACAGTAGCAGCAGCGACGGCAGGTTCAGTTTCGAAGGGAAGGGGAACTCCTACAGGGACGTGGGGAAGCGGCAAATACAATCGGGCTGCGTGGTTCACTGTTTTGGCTGGGTCCTTAGGGTAGTCAGCCTTGTGTTTGGGATTGCAGGCCTTCTGTGTCGATCCAGCTTTTGACATGCTAGTCAGGGTCTAGTGAGTCCGGTCATTTGCTGGCCTCATGCGCGCGACTCGGAATCCTGATTCCATGATATTCCAGATTCCGCGTCCGTGGTTAAGACAAGCTCGACTCAACCGTGGCCTCCGTGAGCCGAAGCACCCATGAATGCCGAACTCCTGAACTTTACGCCGCTCTGACAGCTGCTAGATGAAGAGTAAATCCCAAACACGGTGCCTGTACTGGGGCCAGGTCGACGGTAAGGTCGTGGAGCTGCACCCGGCACCAGCTGGAGGCAAAGGGCGGCGGCTCCAGGATCTCTGTGAAGGGCTGGACGACCTTCATCACCTCAGAAGTCGAGCAGTGCCGCAAACCTGTCTCCTAGTCTCGCTTGACCCAAGCCTGGCCGGTATCCAGTAGCCTTCAAACAAAGGAACCTTTCAACAACTGAGAGCGCTGCCGTCTCGACTACAGCGTTGACGGCATCGATGTCTAGGAGAAGCCGCACAGTACGGATGCAGCCTCGGCCAACACTGGCGCTAAGTGAGGAGGTGGAGCGTCCAACGAAGTTAGTATTAGGGCTTGCATGAGTATGCATGCATGTGTATGTACATATACATATACATATACACACATATATACACATATATACATATACATACATAATCATACATATACATACACATATATGACTGGATTTCCCGGAAAAAGTGTTGAGGACTGGAGTTCAAGCCGTGACGATCACAGGTGAGATGTTACCGGTTACTTCGTTCGCGGGATCGGGCCAAATCTGCAGGAAAGGACGCTGTGGTGGCCTGTGTTTCTCATGCTTTGTGGTTGGCTTCTACTGTCTTTTTGGATTGTTGATGTATCGAACCGAGCCTTGCTCATGTAATCTATATATACACATATACATACGTACATACATACATACATACGTGCAGATGTACAGACAGACAGAAAGACAGACAGACAGACAGACAGTTACAGACAGACAGTTACAGACAGCCAGGGAGGCAGGCAGGCAGGCAGGCAGGCAGATAGGCAGATAGACAGACACACATACATAACGGCACCCACCGCAGGTCCATGTTCATACTGATGTCATGAACGCCCAATTTGTGTGCGTGCCGGAATTCCGAGCTCTAGTTTCATCCGGATAACATGTCTAGTCAACAACGACTTTCACTCTAACACGGGGTTACAGTCCGTGATGGACGAATGCAAGTAGTGAAGTGAAGGACAAAAGACGACCATTCTATCTTGGACTTCTGCACGGTCTACACCTGGTTGCAGCATGTCTGGAGGAGCAAATGGCTTTGGAGGAAGCTGTGCGCTCGTAGTTCTTTTGCTTGGTTGGACGGTTGATCCGACTGGAACCTTGCCTGGACTGGAGTGAGAGAATCCGGGCATTATCGTCAGCCCCATGATTCACGGAAACCCTGTGCAACTTGAGCCACGGCCGCCACAGATCACGTCAGAAGCAAGTGCAGCGGCGGGCTGAAGCGCCAAGGCCCCTGAAAGAGTTATGCCTAGATCTTGCGCATCCAAACCGAGAGGCCCTCAATTGGCTGTCGGCTCTCGTCAGCAGCACCCAAGGCTGGCGTATCCTTCGGCAGTTCAGCGAGATCAAGCCTCAAGCGATCCCCAACTCATCTATGCACGTTGAGAAGACATTCAAGTCCTCCGGAAGTTTCGGTGTGTCGATGCTCCGACTCAGCTCCCTGAAGGTCCTAACACTCTCTTGAACCATGCAGCCAGCGAAGAGGCGTCCTTCCATCGAAAGTTCAGGCATGGACCGGCCACTGGGCCCAAGGATAGAAGTCGGCTCTCCTGGCGCTCCCCCTCCGGGCCTCCACCAAAGCGGATCAAGCAAACACAAGATACGCAAAAAAAAGCGCTAGAGTCGCAGGAACCCATTGCAAGCTTCTGCTGCACTTGACACAGAGATCAGGGAGTGTTCCCGCCAAGTTCCAATTTCCTCAAGTATCGACCCGGGAAAAGCGCAACACCCGACGCGTTGTCTAGGTGCGACTCGTAGCTAAATGAAGTTAAGGGAAAATTTTCTGTTATTGTAGCAGAATCGCCTCTGCGAGTTCGCAGAGGAGACATCATCGTGAGCTTACAAACAAGCGGCTACCGCTCCTCGTCAATTCCTTGTGCTAGCTGCAACCATGCCTCAACAAACACATCTAGCCTTGTTGAGTGCTGCCCCACGTCGCTGCAGCAGCGCCAAGTGTGATGCCGAAGATACGTTGAAGGCAAAATTGCTTGGAATCGCCTCGGAATTGCAAACCCAAACCGCCGCGGCTGCGACGAGCTTGCTTCCGTAACATTCAAAGTGAGCATCGCATTCCTAAGTGCATGAAATTCGCTCGGCGGAATTCATTGCAGCAAGCTAGACTCTGCATGGATCACAGCAGTTACGTTGTCGAAGTCGCAGCTAGTTCGGTGCCTAAACGAGCCTTCCAGCGATCAGTGCAGGCCCTGCCTCCTGTGCTGCCGGCATCTCGCAGGTTCAGCTCGTCCAAACAGCGCAGCCTGGGGCGAGGTTTGCGAGAGGCGGAATTGGCGCACAACTCACAGCTACACTGCAGAGTCCTGTCCTCTGTCCTATGGAGTCCTGCAGACTTTTCAACTGTAAAGCGGTGTTGCTGAGATCTTTCCGCTGCATATTCGTCACTCAGTCATACTCAGCCGAATGCAGGCGAAAATGCACAGAGCAAGAAGTACATCTACATAGACGCAGCCAAGCGACCGGAAAGCATCCAGGGAGTTCACCATGTCCAACGCGAACAGAAAATCTTCTGCCTGGCCAACTTGTGCCACTGTTAGCACTTGGTTCGATGTTTCGGTTTCAGGTTTAGAGTCTGGGTTCGGGGTTCCTTGCCGTGGGGCATTCAAAGAGGTTTGGGGTGGAGGGTAGCGGCAGGTATGCTCTTGTTGGAAGTATATGAGTAAAGCTGTCCGAAGCTGGTATTGAGGCCAGTCCCTTACTTGTTGATGTCTAGGGGGTTGCGAGAACGAAGGGTTACGACTTCGAGAATCCGGCATCTTGTTCGCACCACCGACCTCTGCCAGCGGTCGATGAACAGATAGACCGAGAAGAACTCTTGTGCGTCTCTGTTGAGGCGGAACTAAGCAGTTCTGGCTTTGAGTCTTTAATTGTGTTAATCCAACTTCCCAAGTGATTCGAACCGGAACACATGCAAGACTCGTAATTGGGGATTTCGATCGGCCCACACGCTTTCGACGAATCGCGCACTAGATCGTCCCAAGGCCGTGCTTCTGATCTTCCAAAACGCAGGAAACAACCTGTGTCCTGCAAATGGCATGCTGGCTGCCTGCACTTGAAGTGCATTCGCTGAGCCTTCGGGGATCAATGTGGCCTGCGCCGGGCAAGTCAGAACACATGAGGCTCATAAAAGCATCTGGCAGGCGGACAGGACTGTTGACTTCTCGCAAACCCAAAGGTCTTAAGGACTTCCGATACGCGTCTTGTCTTGAAGCCGTGTCAAGGAACACCAACAGTTCGGGCATGATCTGCTCCTATACAGGCAGGGCTGAGCTCGCAGTCATGTTGCGGGGGATGGAAGTTTGCCGACCAGGACCATGTCATGCGACTACGACCTGATCTTGATGTTGGTGCCAGGCTGAAGCTGGCAAACAACAGCATACAAAGCACACAACATGGCAGGAGCCAGACTCGATCTGAACAAAATCGAGTAACACGCAATGCTAACCCAAAGGGTCGGGATCCTAAACTCTCCCATCACCAATGGAAAGTGGCACATCTCGAGACATGGCTCGAGGATCACTCACGCAAGAAGCCACTGAAGTCGAAATCGCCGAACACCCATTCGTGTAAAGCAACAGCTCTCCAAGCTCGACATCCATGTGCTACAAGCTACAGTAGCCTTCAAGCCCCAAAGGTCTGAATCCAAAGCGCTTGACATGAAACTTCAAGGCCATCCCCACCCGCCCACCCACCCACGCACCCACCCACCCACCCATGCACACGCCCACCCAGCATGCAAGACCTCGCACTGCGTCAGTGTGAGCTCCAAGGTGACCAAGCTGACCAGTCCTTGGCCATCACGAGTCTGGAAACTTCGCAGAGCTGGGGCATGCTACGGGTACAGTAGAAGCCAGAAAGTTGGAACATGGCTTTTGTGCTAGGATCCCCTATACTTTACCTTAAGGCCATGAGGCTAAAGATGTTCCAACTTTCTGGCCTCTACTGTAGGGCCTTCCTTTGATTCACGGGTTCTGGAGGGAGAGGGCTGAGGTTTGGCAGGGAGGCTTCGGGCGGTTGAGGGTTTAGTACGACTGGTACAAGAGGTCCTGCGGATTCATCAGGCTCGGAGGCGTCTAGCGAACTGCAGTTTTTGTTGCCGGCTTTTCTCTCGATTTGGATTCCATTTCCAATACGTCTTCAGGTAACCCAATCTATGATCAATGACCCGAACGGGGACCATTCTGCACAGAAACCCCGACATACTCGGAGCTTTGTCGTGCTAGGGCGAAATTCGACAGGCTGCGTCTGCTCACCAGCTGCTCTCGCCAGGCCAAGCCTGATGCGTCTGAGGGCTGGAACCAACCAAGGGGAAACTTACTGGCATCTCATCTCTGTTCACTAGTGCTGAGAAAGTTTTTCATGTTCAACTTAAAGCCAGGCGACACCCGAAGAGCATGTTGGGGTTAAACCCTGGGCGCAGTGCCTTGATCCCCAGCCCACGAGTGTGAGCACTTCCGGGTTTTGGTCACGGAACACACCAACCAGTAGAATGCAAACGAAACTCTCGAGTTCTCAAGCAGAGGCAAGCTTTGATCTAAATCCCCAACTGAGGCCGTTCGAAAACAGAACAAAATCGACGACGCCGCTACCTTCGGCTCCAGAACGCCCCGGTGCCGGCTCGGACCACATGGTCGAAGCTGCCCTTGCTTTCGGGGATTTTCAGGTTTTGCCTTTGCGGCTCTATAATAGGTTCGAAGTGTTGAGCTTGAAGTTTGGATAGGCTGGAGAGGGTGTCAGATTAAAGGGCTCCGGCATGTTGACTCTAATAGATTTGTGTTCTAAGGTTGCACGCCACTTTGGGCAGACACATCCTGAATATGCATAGATCCAGAGCTATAAACTCCATCACTCTACAAAACAACACACCCAAGACAATCCCAACGAGTGCAAGCCAAATCCTTCGTGGCTGGTAAGGACAGTCCTCGTATGCTTCATGTCGCCATGGTATATTCTGCCACGAAAACCCGGTTCTAATAATTTCTGCCCCCTATTGAATCCCATATCCCTGAAGCCCAAGATCCTCAACTCAGACCGTACTTCCCGAGTCAAGCGCCCTTCGGTTGAAGTCACTGTCTCTGAAGCTGCAACCCTGAAACTCTAAGCCCCCACAGTCGTTGAAGTCTCTGGCCGAACGGCACAACTTGTGAAAGATCTGCAGGCACCTCCACAGAAAAGGGAGCTGTTCTATTCTTCTGCGAAGATTTGCAACACGTGGCTTCAAATTATGCAGGATAATACATCTGAAGAACTTCGCCTGTAAGTGCCGGAATACGTATCACATGCATCGGCCGTCAATCCGAAAGGCTCTCACGGGCTTTCGCACAGAACTTGAGAACCTATGATCCGAATTGGCATGCAGAAAGATCCAAATCTGAGCCTCCACTGCCGCTGCTTTGGGAATGCCTTTTATCAAGTCGATCACAGCCTCAATGTCAAGGCAGTCCACAGAAGCATCAGTCATCTAATCTGTCTCAGTTTTCTTTCCCGATTAAGCCGCAAACGTCACGGGTTGACCAGAATGACAACAGGTGCTTCTTGATCTCATATGTGTTGCTCTTGCTTCTGCCTTCTTGAAACGTACTCGGAATAAGAACTCCACCTCCGATGGAACCCCTTATATAGATTCCAAAATGCTGGCCAAGAGGCGGAGCATACTGCCAGCAGCGGTGCCTCTGGGACGGCCAGTGACAGATGCGTTAGCTTCACCGAGATGGTCATCTCGCCTGGGATGAAGGCTGGCGCAGTTGCACTAGGACTATCATCGCCAGTACTATGGCAATTCACTAAGACTGCTGCTTCAGCTGCAGCTGCTACTGCTGCTGCTGCTACTACTACTACTTCTCCTACTCCTACTCCTACTCCTGCTCCTGCTCCTGCTCCTACGACTACTACTACTACTACTACTACTACCACTACTACTACTACTACTACTCCTCCTACGCCTCCTACTCCTACTACTCCTACTACTCCTACTACTCCTACTCCTACTACTACTACGACTACTACTACTACTACTACTACTACTACTACTACTACTACTACTACTACTACTACTACTACTACTACTCCTACTCCTACTACCACTACTACTACTACTACTACTACTACTACTACTACTCCTGCTCCTGCTCCTGCTCCTGCTCCTGCTACTACTACTACTACTACTACTACTACTACTACTACTACTACTACTACTACTACTACTATATACTACTCCTGCTGCTGCTACCACTATCACTTCACTACCACCACCACCCCCGATTCTGTGGGTCTTAGTATTACAAGAACTATTACTACTCCTATTTCAAAGTGTTGAAATCTGGGTTTAGGAGGCTAAGGATTTTGGCCTTGGGCGCTTAGTAACGAACAGGCTATTTCGACATCAGGGCGAATGCCGAACACAACACGTCGCCTGACTCCTAATGCTGAGACCTGGACCTGATCCCGACATAGTATGGCGACCACTCGGTCTTGAAATCAACAGAAAATGCCAAGGAACTACTGAAAGGGCAAACACGTCTTGAGCGGTGCTGCGGGATGAAGCCACACCATCGCCTGCAGAAGGGCAGGTGGAAATCTTCGTTGCTTGGCTGCGGCTTGCGAGGAACTTGCTCCTACCAAGATTTCGGCTGGTCTTGCGACCTGCAGCTGCGCACCCGACATGTCTCGAGCCCTGCAGGGATGCAGTATTCCATCAAACCCATCCATGCAACTCGGTTGTAGTAAACCTCTAGAGTGCGGTCGCCAGTGATATTGAAGCACAAAGACCCGCAGAACTAAAGGCTCCAAGTGTACTTGCCACTGCAAAAGGTTTGTGGTGGCCTTTGCTCAATACACACACGGAGATCACCTCCAGAATCATCATGAACCACCACAGCGCCTGGCATGCGAGTAGGCTCACAATAAGGGAATCTGAGTCCTGCCTAACCTGTCAGCTAGCTGTGCAAGTCTACATTGGTTGACATGTTAGATCCTCCCTGCTCTAGCTTAGAACAGTCTCTTCCGGTCTCTGCACACGGACCAGTCCTGCAAAGAAGATATCTGCGGGGGTATCATAAGCTAAGAATCTTCACAAACTGTTTCCAGGTGTCCTAGCATTCATCTTCGCATAGCTCCGACTCAGAAGCCCGAACCCATTGCAGCATCAGCGTGGCGCTCGAGGCATGCCCTTTTGGCAGGTGCCCATGGGCTGCGAGACTGGCCGTCTTTTGGTGAAGAACATTCCTTTCGTAGCAGCATGCATATATATATATATATATATATATATATATATGCATTCCAAGAAATCAAAGCACCGACCTGCACCTTTGCAGGATTTCGCATTTCGCACTCATGACTTCTGCATGATATCGGTAACTTGTCCATCTGTTGCAACAATACAAAACAATGCTTTCACAGCTACTGACAATTGCATTGAATCAAACAGACGAGCTTCAACAGCTCAAGCTTGTTGGTGCTATCAGGATCAACTGCAGTCCTAAGTGCGCAATGCCCCGGCCCAGGGCAGCACCTTTCAGAAACTTGACCTTGTAGCATAGCCCTGCGAGGCAGCCTCGCGCGCCGTGGCGGCTTAGCGCTTCGATTCGAAGACCTCGCACCGAGACCTGGGCTTAGGTGAATTGGCAGTGCTCCAATGTCCCGAAAGAACAAGAATACGCGATCATGCACGTGCTGATCTATATAACCAGTGCTTCTCAAGCACTGCCACACGAAAGTCAGAGTACTTCCAACAAGTCTTCAATGCAATATTCAGAATGCTGAAAGCCTTCAACCGTCCGGCGTGCCAAAACGTTGAGCCGTCGGCCATGCGAAACAGTCTGGCACAGGGATCGCAGAACTCATGCACGTCCTGCAGGCAAGCCGCTTGGAGGGACAGGTAGCAGTGATATGTGTTTCTGACGTCTTTCTTTCGCTTCTGATACGGAATCTGCGAGTTGGCTGCCAAGCCTGCGAGAACGGCAACACGATTGGAAAGATACATGCGCAAGCAAAAGCATGCTTGTTCATGAGCGCTCAGTTGCACGTGGAAACAGCGGACAAATTAGGATGTGGGAGTGTTTAACAACTCCGTATCCCAATCCTTATCTGCGAGTGTTGTTGTCGTTTTATTTTCTTCTTATCGTTTTACCACGAAAAATGCTTATCGTGTTGTTATCGTTTTATTTTCTTCTTGTCGCTTTTCCACGGAAAACCATCAAAACCGAACACGGACATGTCAAGACTAAACTTAACAGCACGGGGTTATTATACAGTCCCATGTGCTGAGAAAGTCCGCATACAAGAGTGGTCCCGACGTCTTGTCATTTCAGCCAGGCGTAGCAGCACCAAAAAGAGAGCTGCAGCTCTCAAGAAGCGTGGACCCCAAAGGTAAATCCCGAAAACCGAGGACCGAATCCCCACCCTCGGGTCAACGACACGAAACTAACAGCATCCCCGCCGAAACCCTCAAGCAGGATTCTTCATTGCAACGGTTTGGTGCTTCAGGTTAGGCCTCCAAGGAGAGAAGCGGGAGTCTAGGCTAAACGGCCTTGCGGTAGATTTTGATTTTGGTTTTGCGGTGCAGTATGATGCATCCGTCTGTCCCCTCCTCAGATCCCAGCTCATCACGGTTTGTGTGGAATAGCAGCTCGAACAAGATGGAGAGCTCATTACCGCCAAAACGGATTCTGGTGCCAAGAGCATTCAAAGGAGCCTGCGGACAGTCGATCTTCTCCCCAGCGCTGGTACAAGGGAAGGTCTGGAAGGCCTCTTCATGGCGTCTGAGTTGACTCTTCCGCAGCCTTCAGCTTAAGCTTTGAGGGTTCAGCAAACTTAAGCGGTACTTCACAGGTATGGGTCACTTTACACTTTTTCCACTCAACAGATCTACATGAATACCGTGAAGGGATGCGCAAACTCCGATATCACGTTGGTGGGGTGTCCGAAAGGTTTCGCAAGCTTGGCGGGTGGAGGAGCCGAGATGGAAACCGTCAAGAGACCAGCAACAGCAGAAGCGTTCATGCGAGGATTCTTCTAAGCGCCTGTGACATGATGGATACCGGAGCTCAAACCATAGGTTGGGAGAGTTTGGGAGGACACCCAGTTTCGCGCCGGGCCGGACACAGACATAAATATAGGTGTAGACACAAGACTTGCCCGATACTATGCTAGTAGCGTAAACCGCGAACAACAGAGCAGAAGCCCGCCTCCAACTGCAGCGAGAGCAGCGGCAAAGACGACGGCGTCTCGTCCTGGAGCCAAGGTGCCGATGGGAGAACGACCAGTTACTGCCGGACCTTCATTGTCTCTAAAGCCAGGCTCGCGGGTCATTTGCGCATCCTCGAGTCAAAGTTACTCGATCTGCCCAGACCACAAGTCTGCAAGCTCAGCCTCCGAAGCAAACTGCATGGCCATACTTAACAAGACGTTCCGATGTGAATCCACCAGGGGCATTTGGGAACATGTGAAGCTCTGGAAAGCCGGAATATCCCGAACATACCCCAGAACAGACCCTGTTCCTCGGAATGTGAGGGCCACAGGCGCAGCTGCAGGCCGTTCACAACGACCTGAACGCCATCCCCGATCACCTGCACAGCAATTCAGCACGGCTTCAGGACTGTCGACTGCTTCAGGGCTGAATCATCACAGTATATCAGAGGTCCACGCCGACAACTGAAACACGTGATTTGTGGCTCGGCGCTTGAAGCCAAGATTGCGAGATGGAGGCATGATGTCGCAGGTTCGGTTCACATAGTCTTTCTGCATAGCAGGACGATGACAAAGAAAGGCGACTCTGCTACGTAGCACTGCGACATGTAGGCAGCAATTTAGTTTCTCTATGCTGCACCGCTCTGTGATTTTACAAGAAGCCGCACAAATCTTAAAGAGCACATGTACAGGTGCTTGTTTTGGCCATCATGATGTCTTTCATCTTGTAGGCTTGACTGGCAGCTAGACTTCCCGAATGCTAGTACCAAATCATGCCGACACTTTTCCTGGATTGGGCTGGACCTGGCATGTTAAACGTGCAGCAGAACCCTTCTGCTAACGGACGTCACACCAAAAACTCAGGCTCTGCGTGCCGTGGGACTGCAACAGTCAACTCAACCATCTGGACCGGGCCTCTTTTAGGCCCACCTTCAGCTGCGACTCAACGCTCTTTCGCAGATCCTCCTCGTCGTCCTCCTGGTTATAATTCATGGCAGACTTTTGAGGTGGCGGCGCCGGGACTTTGGGCCGTTTGCGCGGGAGCCGTTCCGACTGCACTTTCTGGCCCAAGGTTTGAGATGAACCGTGCCTTTGCATAAACCGACCTAAAACAGAAACCCTAAACTTTGTCCCCTAAAGCCTTCCGCCGTCACTTCCTTCGCTGGCTAGGAGTTTCGGAAACAAAGCCCAGCTCCAGCACCGCATCCCAGACATGTCTTGTCCCGAAGTACACCAAAAGATTTCAGAAGCTCAAGCATAAACACAGCGTCCACAACCGAAGCTCGAATTCAATCTACTGCACCCTGCTAAAACACTGAACTCACAACCTTAAGGGCCCTCAGACAAGCCATCTCCTCTCCAACAGCCAGCTCGCTCTTCTCCGGTAAGCTTTTGGCTTGTCGCTCTGCCTTCCCCGCCAATAACATCTGCTGCCGATTTAAAAAGTCTGAGGGAACTGGATCCAGCATACCCTACTGGCAGTGCTGCATAGCCAAGGCGACTTCGATATCCACCGAAATCAGGCTTTTGCGGTCTTGGTTTGGAGTGTGACGGCTTGTGAGCGTTGCCTGACAAGCTCCCACTGGACGCCCAAGTACCCTGCGTCAACTGCGCTGCGTGAATTTCGCCCCCTGACAATGACGCCCACCGCACAACAAAAATTCTGCACCTGGGCTTCCAGCAGCTCCGGAGTGGCGCTATGCACCTCGATAGTTATACTATGCAACACCTTTTCGCCACTGATGCACTCTGAAGTGCGCATCTTGAGTCAGCAGCTATTCGAATCGGGTTTTGCCACGGCAATCCCCTCAAATATGATTGGGCGAACAAGGTTTTGACCTGTCCTGCACTCTCTAGAACCTGGAAAATGCGAGAATGCAGATCCGGCTATCCAAAAGCCAAGGCGACCTTCACCTCAACGCAGACGTCAGATAGCTCCTGCGTGCAGTCCGTGGCTTTGCAGTGCTTGTTTGGTAATCTGGCACTGATGGAACGATGACGGCCTTACGTCAGAATACCGTAATCTTTGAAACTGAGAGGAGTCACGCTCCAGGTGTGTGCGCAACACTGAGCCTCCCACAGCAAGCCCGAAGAGGTTCATCGCCTTGGGTCCTGCATCTCCTAAGACCCTGCAAGCGTCCCCAGGCGGCTCCACAAACACGGGCTTCCGCCGGAGCCGCTTCCACGGGACTTTGAGGTAGATGGCCTCGCACCTTTACGTGAGTGAAGACTTCGGGTTTCGGCACGAGAGCACAGAGGCACAGGGGTGCAGAATTATTTGTCTCTCGACGATGTGGTGTCCTAATCGGCTGCCCGCTGTTTCCCAAAGCACCATATTCGTTACTTTAGGTGAGTGCGTTGTGGCTCTAACCCATGCATCTACAGGATGGACGCGACCAAACCGAGTCAGCATGAGAGTCGCTAGGAGAAATCAGGGACACCAGAAAATCAACAAACCCAGAAAGCTCGGAAACGAGGTTCTGTAATCAAGATAGCTTGAACGTTGAAGACATTGTCAGCATTTCGCATTGAAAATGAAAGCTTTCGAAGATACGATACGTAGAAACTCAGCACGAGCAGATTTCATGAAACGAGACACTGTGCGGTTGGGCAATCAAAGGCCATGCAACGGTTTGCAGGATCTGTCAGGCCTTCAACTCAAAGCCCCTCGACGTGAAGCTTGCCTCACCCTCCGGAGCTCCAGGGTGGCGGGCAGCTGCGCGACCAGCAGCTCATGGATGGCCTCCAAGTCGAGCTCTATCTCCTGACAGTTCCGGCTTTGGAGTTGCATTCTGCGTAGGGGGCTCGAGGGGAGAAGGAGTTGATGGAGAGCTTTGCGTGCAGGATTAAAGAGTCCGGGAGACATTTCTGGGTGTTCGACAGCTCTGTCGGCACCTGGAGGACATGTTTCAGATCTGCATCGCCGACCTCTCTCCACCCTCCCAGACCCCTTTGCGGCATTGACGCAAAGAGGTTACTGTGGTTTCGAAACTCGCACCCCAGACCCCCAAAATCGCCCAAACCCCAATCCAACAAAACTCCTTGAGTCTCACGGACCCAGACAGCAACCGCGCGGAGATCTGTTCAGGCGAGAAGCCCTGCCCATGATGCAGCTTGAGAAATTTGGGAATTTGAATTCTTAAGAGGGCTCTTGAGGTTCAGGTTCAGGGCCCATGTTTGCGGCTCCAGCTCTGGGGTTTTGTGACACTGGGGCCTCGTGGGATCTTGCATACCCTAAGTAGGTTCCCAAGATCGTGCGATCCCGAAGCAAAGGAAGGAACTGGAATTCGTGGCCCGAGAAGCAATCCTACATCCCAAGCCTTCTGTGAAGTTTAGTATCGAAACACTCTCTGAGAGCTCCAACGAAACTCCGACCACGGACTCAACCCCTGCAGAATCCAACCGACCAGCAGGACGCTGGCTCTGGGGGTCTCTTCCATCGGCTTAGGATTCACGCTTCAGGGTCTCAAGCAGCCCAGATTGATTTCGGCTTTAGGGCTTCGGATGTTCGGGTTTTCGTTGAAAAGCTCAGCACCTATAGTTTAAGGTTTAGGGCAAAGGGCTCGGGATTCCTCCTCCAATCTCTCATGCAGTTGCACAAGCACGGCATGAAGTGCGATGTGGGGAAACAGGGCTCGAAGCCCGACGGGCACGCAACCCGTGCTTCAGCAACGTCAAACCACTGTAACACAGAGAAAACTCAGAATTTCCGAAGTCCGTACCAATATCCTTGCTTTTTGGACGCGCGCGCCTTCAGAAACCGGCCCAGGTACCGTGCCAAGAGTGTCTCGAGCATGGCCCATGGGTTGGCGCATGAAGGTGAGCTCAAGGTGAAAGCTGTCGGATGCTCAGCTCCAGCGTTCGAGTCAGCGTACTGAGGAGTCTCGTCATATGGCTTCTGGCTTGGAGTCGTAGTGACAGTAGCCGCCCATGACTCTTCTGCTGCGCACGACGGGCATTATGGGCATAGAATCTTAGAAGCACGAGCAACTGACAGGCACTATGCCCACTCATGTGCGAAGAAGACACTCCCTGCGCGCGGAGAAGGGTCACAGTCCATACTTCGCGGATTATAGAGACACTCAGCCAGACAGAGTCAGGTGCCTTGAAGCCGCCACTAAGTTCTAGCGCGACGTCAGCGAAGAGCGAGGTGTGCACGGCTGCCTGTCGCGTAGGGACAGGGAGAATTGAGAATCCCAGGTTCAGTCCGACACGTTTTTATTTATGAGAGTGTACGAGAAGCGTGAGGTTCGGCTCGGAAGACGCAAACCCAAAACATCGGAAGTTACAAGTAAGTGAGTGACCCATCATACACCTTGGCCGAGGCCTTCAATGGCGCCCAGGTTTCGGCATCAAGCGGCCCGAACATGGCCTCGCCGGCTTGCTTCCGAGCTTTGGCTTGGGCGGCAAGATTGACGCCGCAGGATTTGTTGAGCTCGTGGATCGAAAGCATGGCATGCGGCAAAAGCAGTCTCCTCTACCCCAACCCAAACAGGGGCAAAGATGGAGACCTCAAACCGTTCACACCGGTCCTCCAAACTGGTCCACTCCTGCGCAGTCGCCTCCCGCCGGGCCTCGAGGCATCGGATGGTCGATGAGAGCGCCAGAGCTTCAGTCTTGGGATTGTAGCAACACTTACGGCCCAGTTCGGGATCTCCGAGAGAAAAAGACCACAGAAAATGTAATACTTCAAGATTCGAGATCTTCTAGGCCCTGCAGATCATGACACCATTTAAGGCATGGGCTCCCAATTCTGTTGAAGGCTCAAGTAAAGCTCTGGAGCTGCGGGCTCTCGAATGACTCTTCCGGCCCCGCCTCCTGCAATGCGGCCCATGGGGCGACATGCGGGGAGCCCGGGTCGCTCTCCACCTGCCAGAAGACAGAGTTCTAGTGCTCTGCTGCTGAAATGCAGTCTTTTCTGACAGGGCTGCATTCAATCAAAGGGTTCGGACTTCAGTTAGATCCCAACAATTCTGAGGGCCGATGCTAAGATGATTCTTTGAGGTCCCGCCGCTCAAGGCCATCACAGTAAGAAGAAGCAACGTTCCGTCAAAAGAATTTGCAAATCCCTTGCCGACCTCGTTATTGTCAACAACGCAGACTCTGCAAAGCATGGAAATCATGAAAGCTGTGCAGCCTCGAGGTAGTGAGCTCGAAGCACTAGCCTCACATCAAAGGCAGGTTACACGTGTTGACCCAAAAACCGCACCGAAGCCAAGCCATGCTGCCAAACCCTTACTTAATCAAAGCTCAACCCGAACCTTAGACACCCTGCTCGGCGCTATGCCACAGTTATGCCGTATAAGCCTCGAAACATCGTTGCTGGTCGACTCGATCCTCGCAAACCCTACGTGTGACGTTGGACTTCAGAGACCGAAAACGAAACAGGAAAATTGACATATCTTTCGGTCATGATCATGGGTTTCGGCCTTTCCTTGTTGTTGCGGGTTGTGGGAGCAATGCTGGATATCTGAGAACATTGCGGCATCTTCAACACACGCCCCCAAACACAAAGCTAACAAAGCTATCTGTGCAAAATACGCAACCACACGAGCCCATCTGCGATTTATCTCTGGTCATAGACCAGCCCCCAGGAGCCACACCTGAGGATCTCAGGCGACACGTGCGGAGGCAGGATCATGGCTGCCTCAACAAGAGAACGGCAACCATGGCGGCTGGCGGCATCATCCCACGACCAGAGTAGCGCAAAGCACGAGGTGCGAACGGTCGACCAACGTTAAGACCCTCCTAGTCTCGAATGCAGCAAACTAGCAAGCCTCAGACCTCAAGCGCACAAATCCAAAAACTAAGACTCTGCGCTTCACCGACACCCCGAAGGACTCAGACCCGCAGGCAAGGCAACAACCCACAAAGCCCCGATGGCCGGACTTCCTACTCAGTGATACTCTTTCAAAACAGTTTCGAAACCTCTTGGCTTTGGGCCGGCGCGGTGTCACATTCGAACCCGAGGGAAGGGTTGCGACGGAGAACCTACGGCTTGAGGCTACGGCTGGACTGGAGGGTTTGAGGTGAGCCTTCTCGGGGTTTCGGACTGAAGTGATTACAGTCCGACGGGTTAGTTCAAGCAGCCTTGATTGAGGCTCAGGGTACAGGACAGCTCCAAGGACAAACGAACGTCTGACCCGACTCAACCACGATCTAAATCCCCACCAGTGATAAGGTTGGACACCTTGGGACCTTGTTTCCAAGATCAGTTGGCTTGAAAGCTCCAGGGCCCTGTAGCTTGCAGAGCCAGACAGGACCTGTGAACCCCCGTCCAAAAGCAGCCCAGCACATACAGGATCAACGCTACAGATTTGATCCTAAATACCTCGCACGTCGCAGGCGCACACCAAAGAACCCCAACCCGTGAAAAGCTCACCCGAAGCGCAATCTACTGCAAAAGCTTCATCTGAACAGCACTGTGCAAAGGCCCGGGTCTTGGACAAGAGGCTGTCAACACAACAAATGTGCATTTCCCCGTTATATCCCAAAGCTAAGCCCGCACCAAGCGATGTGCGCCGATCGACTCCGTCTGCCTCGGTCATTGCCGACCGTCTGGAGTTTTGGATAGCCAGTGTTGCAGGAAGGTTACGGCTTCAGACTGGCCGGCCTAAGACCTAGATTTAAACTAATATGACACCTGGAACATTGATCTCTGGACCATTGCAAGCTCCCAGTCCATCTTGCGATGAAAACTCTCTCATGAACTCGGGACTGGACTCCTTGGGTACGCAAGTTTAGGACTCTGTCGCTTTCGGCTTCAAGGTGTGCAGTCATGCAAGATTAGGCTGTTCAGAATCGGATCTGACCTCGCAAGACCTTCTATGCAGCACTCAACCCGGAACTTGCACCATATGCCTGCCACTGCAAGGGAGTCTCTACATGCAGCTGCATGACTGACCAATACGTAGACAGTAAGCGAGGTTGCATGGCAGCCCCATCCGATGAATCTTAATCTGATGCCAGCCTCAACCAAGCCTCAAATGAAAATCCCTAGTACTGTGACAGCATGGGCATGGCAACATATTGCAGCTTAAGGCAGCCTTCAGCGAGGCTCCAATTGCAAACATTCAGCACTTGGACGGTGCTGGAAGCCCTGTGACGTATCCTTCAACGAGGCTTCAAGGTCTAGTTCCAACATCCTCCAGGTGCTATCAGCAACTCCTGAGGTTCGCGACGCACCCGCGGAAAACTGCACATCGGCATGTTCTCCTGCTTGGCTGAAGGATGTCGGGTGTTTTGGGACAGGCTTAGCTCTGCCTTGCAAACTTGGTACCTCACCAGGAAGACAAGCGCTAAGTACCAAGCCTGATAAGATTAAGATCTGAGGCTCAGCTTCGAGGCATCATGACATGTGGGAACCGTCGGACAAAGCCACACAAAGCCATCTGCTGAATCTGCTAGGGAGTTAGGGACGCAGCAAAGTCACATCCCTTGGGTGCCGTCCTGCATCGAAGACCGCCGTCAGCCGCCGGGACAGCTCCGTTGGCGTCGCCGGTCGGGGCTGCGAAAGATTGTTGTGGTTGCACTTAAGGCTTCAAATTCTAACCGAGATTTCTGACTGGTACCGTATGGTACCGTAACAAAGGTGCACCTTTCGCATGTCTGATGATTTATGGTCCTGGCAAGTCCGAACATGTCCGAACCCTCACAATAAAAACACTTGCATGTGTCAACCTCTGCATTGCTTCGGGGCTTCAGTCCCAGAGGAAGCTTATTAGTATGCGGATGCTGTGGGCTTGTCTGAGACAGCGTCAACCCAAGAAACCGTACATACTAAACGCATTTGCTGGGACATAAGACAAAGGCGTGCATAGAGAAGTTACAAAAAGTGGTACTAGAAGGGCTAGAACAGAGTACTTAGGAACTGTTCTCCTGATCATGCCTAGCACTCCTACTCCACAATCGCCAGTTCCATCCCTAGTCTCAAAATGAAGCCCTACACCGTAAATCAGGCACGCAGAGTCTTTTTCGACCAGGATCGCTATCTAAATCGTCAAGCTGAGACACTTGTAACAAAAAGTCTTCCACATATATATATATATATATATATATATATATATATATATATATATATATATATACATATACATATATATATATATATTATAATTATAGAATGCGCAGGGTCAAGGTCAAGGGCTACGTCGTTTCGGGCGTAGGATGACTTCACAAAACCGATTCATGGAGACGACGAGTGTCCATTCAACTTGATACGTTACTCAAAACCACTCCTTCTCTTACGGTCTAAACGATAGGTTTGGAGCGGGGCCCAGTCCTGCTCCGGCAGGGCGTCTGGCAGGGGCCTCGTCGTTGCTATGGGCTGCTGTCAGGAGCATTAAACGCAGTTGGGGACATTTGCGGGTACTGTGCACGCTTCAGTGTTGGGCAACCATATTGGGAACTTTCAGGGCTGTCTGCAAGCTCGAGCATCAGTTTCTTCGTCATCTGGGGCAATACGGATTCGTTTGCAGTTTCCATCAAGGGTCTGCTAGCCTCTGCAGGAATATGCCGTCGACATGACGGAAAACGAGTTGAGTTCGCATGATCTAGATGTCCCACCTATGACCTCTGAAACGGGGAAACTTGCTTCACGCCTCAGGTTTCCAATTCTTGGTCGTCCGTTGACACACCTTGGCATCACTGTCTAATCCACAATATGACATGTGCACCCCAGCTGCCCCCTTGCCTAAGTCTCCAAGCAGGACAAACTCCCAAGCTGACTCTCAAGTCCCTGGAACCCGCTTCTACACCCATACTCAAAGTGCTCGGCGTGTGAGGGTACCATTCAAGCGCCAACATGGCATCAGCGAAAATGGAAAATAGATTTTTGGATGTCCGACATGTTTGGAGTTGGGCCTAGGTGCTTGGAGGGTCATGGGGGGAAGGCATCCCACAGTTGAAGCTGCAAGTCCTTTTAACGTCCTCTTCCTGGGCCGGCTTGTCATGAGCTGGGGTTGCTGATTCGGAAATGCACACGATAGTTTCAACTAAAGCTGATAGTGCGTCGTGACTTATGTTGCCCAGGCATTCGCTGCCGGGCTTCCCATGCAAAAAGCTGCAGAGATCTGCGAATCCGACCATGTGGCCTTCGAGCCAGACCTCGGCGGATGATAGAATTCTAAAGAATGCCTTGCGTGCTTCGGGCTGACTGCTCTTCAAAGGTCTGGGGCAATCCGAACTCAACCTTCGGAGGCTGAGCTCGTTTCAAGGGCACTCAGGACCAAGGCTCGCACCCAGTCAGCGATATGTGGCTTCAGGGCTTGCATAGAGCTGAGCTCGTTTCAAGAGCAAGAAACAACACCCTCCGTTTTCTGTCTGTCGCTGATGGGGCTTGCAGGATTTGGTAAGGCTCGAAAAGCTCAACATTTGTTGCAGAGCGTCCACGCACTGGACTCAAAGCATGGCCCTTCTAAAGATTTTGATATTGAGAAACGATGAACACGCTTCCACCGTCTTCTATGTGGCAGCGATACTTCAAAAGCAAACGATAGAAGCTACTTGCAGGTGGCAAATTCAGGCTGCAGTTTCTCGATTTCCAGGTAGCTGAAAGAATCTCGGAGGTACATGATGCTGTTCTGGTCTTGGTGAATGTTGTGGGACGTACGGCTGCTCTGAATTCTTCGGACCACCCGCAAGCAGGCTCCAGGTGAGGAGACCAGGATCTCCTCCTGGCCATGCGACCTTTGCCGAGCTCGGGGTCCATTTCAAAAGCCCCTGAAGCGCTTTGCTCCTCTCCGGGTTCTCTTCCGGGAGTCTCTTCTTGGGGATCCCGAGCTCAGAAATCACCATGTGCAAGAATCGTCTCAGACATCAAAGAGCTTGTCCAGCATGCTGCCTGGATGCATGGAAGAGCTTTACCGAGCACCGGACCACTCCCGGATTGAGCAGTCTGGTTGTTGCTCTCCAGGTACTTACTCGTGTAATTCTCTGGAACTCAAGCCGCACTGAGAATGTTACATGGGCCAGGCACGACAAGTAGACAGACAGACAGACCGACCGACCGACAAACAGACAGACACACAGACAGACACTCAGACAGAGAGACAGAGACGCACGCATGGCAGAAACGAACATGAATGAAGGACTTAGAGTCTAAGTGCCGACCAGAAAAGCAGAAACGAGGAAACCAACAGCATCAAATCCCACATGAGAGGGTGACATACTCTTCTAAGTGTGCAAAGATAACACTTGGCACTGGCAGTGTGGAACCGTTTTCTGTGGAATCATTGAAGGACGGCACTCCCAGCCTGCTTCCTCGCTGCTGAGCACGCCGGCTTTGGCCGCGCCCCGCAGCGCCTTGGCTTCAGCTGCAGAGGTTGCAGGTTTCTAGTGTTGCAAAAGCCCCAGAAATCCCGACATCCTGAAGGTCCTGAGGCCCAAATAATCATTTCCCCCGAATATTAAGCGCGGGGGGGGCCTCCCACCCTCAATAGAAACTCGGAAACCGTTTAGGAGTTATTTCTACTTAGTCGCTGAGTTCATAAGCCCCCCCAAAGTGTACACTTTTAGTTTTATAGTGGGTAATATTATCCCAAAAAGTGTAAAGTGTATCCACTCAGCTACTAAGTCTATCTCTACTGTCACTTTTGAGGGCTCTTGCTCCTGCGTCCTGCTCCTGCTGTGTCTCTTGCTCTCGCTCCTGCACTTGCTTTTGCTCTTGCTCTTGCTGTTGCTCCTACTCTTCCTCCAAAGCACTTGCTTTTGCTCTTTCTCCAGATCTTGCCCCTGCCTTTGCTCTCGCTCCTGCTCTTGCTCCGGACCCCCTATGCAAATTGGGTTTCAAAGGGCAGGTGTGATTTCGGGAGGATTCGCCCCAATGTGTTTTTTATTATCACGGTGGTGTTGAAGGAAAGGGGGAGGTGATTACTACCAGCCCAAGCCCTCAAAACCCTTGAACCCTGAATCCAAACACATTTTCGACAGGAGTAGAATGGACCTCGATCCGCGTCAAGACTTTGGCCGCCCCGGGTGAGAGCTTGGCACCTGCAATGCGTCGTTTGAAGTTTCTTGTGGGCTCTCTTCCTTGAGGCTTTGAGGCTTTGGGGATCCGGTATCTTCATCAAACTAAAACTCGGTGAGCCTCGAAACTAGTTGAAGTGTTTGGGAAACTATGTATTTAACTGGGGAGTGGGCTCGCTGTGGAGGTACTTCCTCCGACAACCTCCTGCTCCCTTCTGAATATCTTCAAGCGGCCAGAGCAAACTAGCTTTGAGTAACCCATGTCCAGTCCCTGCCGGGCCTTGGCTGTCGAGGATTTCAAGGGCCTTCTGCCCCATCATGTTGCCGAGGTATGTAGCCTCTGCAGGCTTTTTGGGGTTCAGCTCAAGGCGATAGGCCGACTGCTGTTCGAATCATACGCACAGGAATGTGTCGGCGCCGGGATGGAGGTCGTGAGCAAAGGACTGCCAATGCATGCTCGTCCGAAGGGTTGGCATGGGGCAGGGTAAGGCTTGTAATACATACACGTACTGGCACAAAGTTGGCCCAGAATGACGACTTCGCCCTATCCGTGAAATGCAAGTTCTGCCTAACGTCACTGGCCCGCCCAAGTGCCCTGCACCTCCATGAGGTCTTTGACGGGGATGTCAAAAAAACTGGCATTGGGAGTGTCAGCCTGAAGACAGTGATTGGGAGTTTTCACGCGAAGAATGCTTAGAGTAGGCGGTCAAGGACCCAGCTTGTAGCAAGAGGCAAGGGCTCTTGCGTGAAAGCTCTCAGGGCTTGTCATCGAGCGATCTCTCGAAGGGTACAGCCAAATTCAAAAATAAGGTCGAATTCTAAAACCAGGCAGAGGCTAGCTTGTTCAAGCTTGCTTTAAGCCTTTAAGCCCTTCCACTTCTGTGATCGCTCCTGTGCCCCCATCCTATAGGGCCTTGCAGTAGGCAGGGAGGCACTTCGAAATGCCGACGCAAGAGCAGTTGAATTCTCCCACGATCCACTTGTCGATGGTGCAGGGTGTTCCAGGCTTGCCTTTCGGGCGCCAACAGATTCAGTCAATTCGGTCATGAACGATGCCTACAGCATCGAAGGATGCTTGCTCATTTTGTCCTCAATACATCGAGCTTAATCAGCCGCAAAATGCGCTAAATGTGCCATCTGAAGCCTCGGCTAGAGCTTTCTGTGAATCCGGAATCGCATCATTGCCCAGGTGTTTGAACCGGCCCTTGAACCACTCAACCCAACGACCTGGGTCCGCGTTGATGAAATCCGCCGTCCACCAAAGCGGAAGGGGCTCGCCTTGGCGGCAAGCGCCCACAGCAAATGATCGGACCCCTTAAGAAGCCTCAAGTCAAGGCCTAGAGCCCTGAGGAGTGGTCGCGTTGCGTCTGAAAGCTTGCAGGCAGATCTATCCCCACGAGGGCCGTCCCCATCGAAGCTCTGCAGCTGTTGACAGAGATGTCCTACTACGCCCAGACCAGAGGCTTCCGCAAGCTCAAGCTCCGGACAGTAAAGCGTGACAACTAGAACATACTGGAACCCTAAACCCGACATCACGCCGCTCAGGCTGCCCTGCCGGGTCGCTGGGCAGCTCGAGGCTCTGCATCAGGGTCGGGATGGAGGTCTTCAGGAAGTCCTCAGAGGCTTGGCTTATCTTGGCTTCCTGGCTTCTGGGACCTTGGAGCTTGGCGGGCTGAGGCGGGCAGAGGTGGGTTGAGCATTTTCATTGTCAGCCTCTAAGCCTGAGATTTCAGAGTGTCACTCGAGCTTGCGAAGACACATTGGGAGCAGAGAGCAAAATGCCTGCCCTCAGATCTCCATTCTCCCCGACCACAAACAACAAGTCCTCAGAGAGCTGCTTGAACTCGGGGGCATCCGGCGTGTAGAAGGTGTACCTACGGCTCGAGGCTTGCAAGATAGCATTGACTGAGGGTTGCAAAATCGCTGGAGAATGTGGAGCTTCAGGCTGGAAAGGCTTGGAGCAGTTCGAGCCCTAAGGCTCGGGGGAGCTGCAGCATCCCATGAACGGCTAAAAGAAGTTTCAGGCTTTAGAGACTGAGGTCTGGGGCTTCGCAGTTGAGGGTTTGCGGGTTGGGAGTTGAGGTGCAGGTTACAGTCGGCAACAAGCTCTTGAAGTTCATGATAGCCCACCGCAACATAGCCAGAAGCCCACGCTGTCCCAGATTGCATAAAAAGCAGCTGAGCCAAACCCTCGATGTGATGAGCCCGACCTAAAGCCCTAGAAACCGTGAAGCTCCGATACTTGCGAGCGCGGCTGCTGCTCTCTAAGACGCGGGATGTCAGCCTTTTCTATGCCATGGAAGCACCCCTCACGTGATCTGACACCTTCGTAGGGTCAGCATTGATGCCAGACAGCCTCGGGGCCTCTCAACACTTTGCTGTGCCAAGGTGCACAGAGCCGGTCCCACCGACCGCAGAGATGCCGCCTGCCTTCGAAGAGCTCTCCGAGCTCTCGGGCTTGTGTCCGAGTGAGGATGGGAGGCTGTGGCTGGGGCTTCAGGGTCGATGGCTCGAGGGTTCGCAGGCATCGGGGATTTAGGTCTGGCGGTTTCAGTTCATGCCAAGGCTGTGGCATTCCAATGGAGGTTGGGCGCTTTCCAACTGACTGAAACTAAACCAATGAAACGATTTTGTCCAGGCTTGGCCAAGCAAGTTGCCCTAGCTGTCAGATCACAGGCCTTGGGCTTCTTGTGGATAATGCCTGTGCAGGTGTCGCCGATCCTTGGGCCGACTCAGATTTCGGGATCTGAAATAGAAAGAGTGCAATCGGAGCCTGAGCACAACCACATTTTCGACTTTCAGGACCTCTGGGTGCCTAGGGGAGTTGTGGGCGAGGATTAGTTGTCCCAACCTTGGACAGTCACGAAGCCAGCATATCCTCAAGCTCTGTGTTTCTTCGCAAGCATTACTTCAGGCTCCGAAAGCTTTGAGGCCACAACTCTCATCCGGAAGGTGAATTTGACCCGGCACCCGAAGTAGCCCACATTAAATGGTTGACTGCCCAGGGGCATATTCATGCGCACCTCACCTGCGCAACCAACTTGACTAGTAGTTTGGGCTTCCGTAGGTTTTGGATGGGCTTCGGGTTCAGGATCGAGCCATGTGGGCCTGAATTCAAGATCACATAGGGCTGAGAGCACGCACTTGGACGCACTTTCTCCCTGCGGCAACGAACCTCGCTGCAATTCCTGACCTGTTCACTACCACAAGACTGACCACCAGAATCCCGGATCGTTCACTCTGGCGCCTTCCACAATGCGCGGGCAGAAGCGCTGGTCCACAAGCTGGCCACCAGCGGCCTTCACGGGAACAAGCCACAGGGTCGGAAGGCTAGTAGTTTCAGGGCCTCCGTCCGAAATTTGTTGGCTCTTTTGACCAAGAAGGTTCTAGCAGGTGTAGCAGATGCTAGGTTCGGCGGTTCACGCGCTTACGAAAGAGTTCCCCAAATTACGTGAGCTTGAGGGTTGCAGGGTACAAGCGGTTTCAACATGAATCAAGGTCACCAACCCGGCTATTCTAAAAATAGAAGCTCTTGCTGCTGCAGCTCAAAAAGGCAATTGGACAGTGGTTGAACCGCACCGCAAGAATTGCAAGAACCGATCGTCTAGCGCAAACCAAAAGCCCAAACCGCCCACTGCTTCGGAAATGCGGCCGAGTCACTGCCTAAACCCTTAATCACGTATAGTTCAATGCCCCGCCTTGCCACCCTCCAGGTACTTGCCAGTTCCAATAGTGTCCTTGGCATCGTGGCACCGATTTCTTTCTCATAGAGGGTTCGGTGGTGTGGTGTGATGAATTGATGGCTCATCACAGTGAGCACCATCGACACATCACCTTGACGGATGTTACTTTCATACTCCTGCTTTTACTCATAGATTGCATCCCGTTGCCACTATATCATTTCGGTGGCAAGCACCAAGGCTCCGAGCGTATTCTTGAGGTTGAACGAAAACCACCCTGCCCCGCTGATTGCAGCAGGGTCCCCAAGCTCCGGAAAACCCTTTGTAAGAGGCTCTGCGCCGGCAACACCCTAAACTAAGCTCTCTCAACTTGCTGAAGCTAGATCTGCTCAGTCGTGGGCCTTCGATCCGAGTTTTTCGACTGCATTCATTCTGAAACGTCGCTAACAGATCGTCCGGGAGCCCATTTGCCCGACTTCTCGTTCCGACCATTGACGCAGAACTCAATGAACTCCTGAGTGCGGGGCATGGGGGCGAAGGTGTCAAGGTTAGAGTGAGCACTCAAGGTCTGATATTACTTTTGGAAATCATGAACTTCAGGTTAGCCAACCATTCTAAGCTTTTTGTTCGACTGTGAAAGGCTCGTTTTTCCTATACGAGACACATCAGAGGTTTCTGGTTGAGAATTTCCGTGTCGAGACCAGTCCGAGCGCTGAAGAGCCGAAACTTGACCCCACGAGCCCCTGGAGCTCTGACACCTTCAAACTCTGATCCCGAACGCTGTACAAAAAAATTCGGAGCAGCGACACGGGTAAGGCAGGGCCAACGAAGGCCGAAACGTTGAGAGGTGCAAAGGCGACCCACTAAAGCACACCCTCGATTGCCCCCTCCAAGCCACAAAGCACAAACCAAACAGAGTACACAGGAACATGTGTACTCGGAATCAACTTGTGTTCTCTCGAGTGGCGGCCACCGTGTGGGTCTCAGAGTGATTGTCGCAGGCCTGCCGATTTGAGGGCATGGCGCGCTTGACAAGCCTTCATGCTGAGTGGTCAGGCGAACAAGCACCAGTAAGGGCTTCCCTTACGGTGCTCGAGGATATGCACCGATTCTCGTACCCATGGTTTGTTTGGACGCACCACCTGGCCTCATGTCCGCGCACTCAGCCGGGTGTTGATGCAAAACACACAAGGTACCCTGAACCAAGGTACCCCGAAAATCTCATTTGTCTCCTCTCACCTCCAGATGAACGTTCACTTCCCTGTTAATGGTCCTGGAACTCTGGAATCTTCGGCCTCGGCATCCCCTACATTCAAGCCTACACACAATCTGACCCAACCCAAGGCCCAAAACCATCAAGCGGAGCCCACCTCCATCATTTCGAGGACCTCATCGTCGGAGCAGAGACGATCACCGAAGTTCTTGCCTTTGGTGAACTGGGACGTATCGCATCGCATAATTGCCTTGCACCTCTCTTGGAAACAAGGCCTCAAAAGAGGCGATGGTGGGGTTCAGTTTAGTGCAACCGACCATTACCTTCCGACATGGCAAAAAACCGTTGAATCCCACAAACGGTGACACTTTCAACGACCATCGCAGGCAGTGACCTGTCAAAGTGGCGGGAACCTGTTAAACCCCAAAACTCGCAAACCCAAGCTGCAGTAGTTCCCCGACTTGAGCTTGATGATCCAGATGCCTTCGCCGGAGGAGCCTGCACGCTTCGGAATGAGTGAGCTCGCAACCCTCATCCCACATCGCTCCTGTTCTGAATCCCGAAATGCCTGAATGCTGTGCGGTGTCCCTGATCGTAAATCCAAGCGATTGCGCCGTGTCTCTTATTCATGTATTCTCGAATCCCCCAACCCTGAACCCCAGACCCACGAAACCCTCGATTCCCCCACCCCCGACCCTCAATTCCCAAGCCTGTAAGATACCGGTCCTGAGCCCAAACCTTTCAATCCAAAGCCGTACATCCTCAATCAGAATCAACCTTCCGGGCATCTGCGGGCCTCGGTTCTGCTTGATGACACGGGGCTGGAAGGCCATCGTCCTCGAGGCAAGCCGGCTTTGTTGGAAAGATTTCTTCAAAGGTGGTTCCATCCGATTAAGCAGCCGGAACTCCTTAGAGAGCCGGCTTGAAAGGAAGCACGAAGGGTTGTGTTTGGCGTGGTTTAGTTCGCGGTGGCGAGGTCCGGAGCCGATGCCAAAGTGGCAACCTAGCTCTCTGCAATGCTCCAAGGGAATGGTGGAGTCCGAAGCACCCACAGCTGCAAACTCTACACCGCTAAAAAGTTAAAACCTCATTCGCGCCAGATCGCTTCTTGAAGCCGGCAGCAAACTCCTGCGACAGGAGTGACTACTCGGGCAGGGGCATCTGAAGAACCTTGAGGGTTCAGGCCTGAAAGCCGGATTTCGGGTTTTAGGCTCTCCGCAAGTCTGTCATCCTACACATAAACCACAAACCTCAGGCCATCGTCGCAAGTTTCGATACTTCTTTCCCCCTCGACGGTCTGGTCTGTGGAAAGATTCTCACCTCCCACCCCTGCACCCACATTGATATGAACAAGAACCAAACAGCAGAATCAAACAGCAAGGTCAAAGAAACAAGAAGTTACCCCAAGCTGGCCCTCAGTTTATCAAAATCAAGGGTACAGCCGAACGCGTGAGTCTGCACACTCTTGCGTCTCGCCGTTGGGATCTCTCAAGCTTCGGGAAATTAACACAGACTCGTGGTGAGGTCCTAGGGGTGTTGTCAGAGTATGAGTTCTCTTCTGGAAGGTACTGTGTTCAGCCAACCTCCAACCAATATGGGAACCGCATTCCCCTCGCCAGCCGTGCGAGAGAGCACTACTGAGTGCAAGGTTTCACTTGGTGCTATGAGTGCTTCCCTCATCATGTCCTTGGCTGCCAACGGCCTCAGCCCGAAACGAACCCTGCCTCCACCCTGAACTGTGAGCTGATAATTTCCAAAGGCTCAAGCCCAAATCCCAAATCTGCCTCTGGGGAGTAGTATGCTAGCGTGTCCGGCAATCCGATGGAGAGGTCCGCGATCTTGCCTGTGCTTGGCTGAGCCAACGGGGCTTTGGCTTCGCGGGACTAGGACTATAGGACCAGGAGTGCTGAAGGACTGGATCCGTAGAAGCATCACATTTGGCGTGTAAACGGGCATGGTGCCTCCAATTTTTCGTGTTGCAGCCAGGTTTGGTACAGGCTGCTCAGCTGCTGTTGCTGCAGCAGGGACCGGAGTTTTGCCCTACTGACGTGCAGATCGCGCCGACTCTGGGAAGAGGCAAGGATTGTCACTCCAAGACGCACAGCGCGTCCTTGGCGCCCATGTTCGTCATCACATCAGGCGAGGGCCAGACCTCCAAGTCCAAGTCCCCTCCCCTCCATGTCCCAAAGCCACAAGGCTTACGCGCACATGGGCTGATACTGCGAGAGGCCCTGAAGAATGTACCTAAACTTTTGATTTAGAATTTAGACCTTCAGATTTCGAAACTTCAGCAGGTGATGATGAAGTTTGCTTCCTGTGCCAGCTACGCTTGACTCATTGACTCTAAGGCTTTCGGACCGAGGGATTGCGGCTTCGCCCTGGCTCCCAAGCCGTCACGCTTGGTGTTGCCAAGCGTCCGACCCGTTTTCGCTGCTCTACTGTAAACAAAGTCCTCAAGGTACCGTGGTGCGGAACTTTCAGAATCTGCATGGTGCCAGACGTACTTTTTGGAGCCTCGTGCGGTTTGAGGTCTTACTTGTGCACACCATGTAGAGCTCCAAATGAGACCTAGCATGCTTTGACGGCAAATTGCCTCTAGCTTCAGGAATCCCATCGTCTTTGCCCAACAGAGAAATCCTCAGCTGCATCGAGCCTGCTTGCCCTTTTTCTGCAGCCCTCGCATGGCATCATCGAACTTCCTGGGTCGGGCGCCGTGTGGAGAGCGAGAGAGGAATCTTGGTGATTGGACGAAAAAGGAGAAGGGGCTCGCCGCTGTTCGTGACATGAGGTTCTGGGCAGAGTTTTGGACAGGATCGAACGAGCAACCTAGAGTACCCAACCCTCCGATAGGCGCGACCGTAAAAGTATCCTTGCACTCTCAGCACGCGCCACTTCTAAGTTTCACCATGCCTTACCTAATTGAATGGGGTCTCATCTGGCCGCCGCCGGCTGCGTTGATCTGGCCAGGATTACAGCGTACGATGATTGCATCGAAGCCCTCCATGGCTTTGATGAAGGCGTCGTGCCTCAAGATGCTTTCCCATGCAAGGCCTTGTCATATGTATGATGGGTCAATTGCTCGTTTGGTTGGTAAGCCTATATTCCCAAGCAGCCGAAAGCCTGTCTTGCTGAAATGGACCCGGATACTCCTCTGGCACGTAGTGGACCAGCTGGCAGCTCATGCCCGAAGCGATCATGCCGTTGGCAATGGGAATAGAGTCGTAACGGTGGCCGCTGGCGCTCTTGTCGGAGCCACCGAAGGGCTGGGAACCCACGTAGATTTGGACCAGCGCGGTCTTGTACTTGGGGTTCGTTGGCTGTGGCAGGAGCCCCACATCGTCCGTCTTGGCAACCTTTGTTAGGCCAGACACATCTACGAGCGAAGAGGTCTGGCATGCACTGGGCTTTGCCCAAGCGAAGCCCGCCACTGCAGATCCCGTGACAGTCGTAGCAGCGGTCGCCAATGCCGGCCGCGACGCAGCGTACCGGAGGCCGCTGCGCGCGGCGCGAAAGGCGGAACGGAATGCCATTGCGAGCAAGGATGGCGCTTACAAGTACGCAAGCCACAAGCCAACTGCGGAGAGGAAGAAGTTGGCCGTGGTTGGTCGCTGCTGCAAAATCAATCGTCGGAATATTAGCTGCGCATTGGCAGCCCTGCCATCCCAAGCGCCGGCTGAAACGTTGAAGCACATAACTAATAACCCCGGCCCGGAAACCCGAAACCAACCTCAACATCAAAGCCTACATGTATTGTCAGAATATTGAGGTTTCTGTATGACCAGACCTACCAGACCCCGCCAGTAATTTCGGACTGCCTGCGCATCCGCCAGTTTGTCCATTTCAGGCTTCGCGGCCTTCAGATCAGAGCTTGGCCGAGACCGTTGAATCCGGGAGGTCTTAACCCCAAAGAAGGGAAGCAAGAAGCCCGAAGGGGCAAACTTTTTCTGTCGCAGCGCTAAGAGCTCACAGCCTCCTGCAGCAACCTCGGATCGGAAGGGTGGTCGTTCTTTGGACTCTCTGTTTTGGAGGCAGGCTCCGCAGAACACAGACTTGCACGACGGCTCTCTACCTGCAAGAGCTGTTATCGAAGTTCATGCATCTTGAATGACCAGCCAGGACTCGAAACTGAACAACCGATCAGAGCTTAAGCAGTTGCAGATGCATACCGGAAGTGGCTTGGCCCAGCCTCACGAATCTCAACGTAGGATCCAGGCCGTTCGGGCTCCACGGCTTCCAGGAGGTTTACAGGGGCGCTATGGTTCGACCTCGCAACCGGTCGCCAAAGGAACAAAGGAAAGCCACCGGCAATATCAGGGCAGGCCAAGAAGTTGTACGACTGCCGGTGGTAAGATCGTTGTGGTCTCCATAGCAGCACCGACAAGCACAACCACGACCAAACTGGGACTAACAGTGGCAGTGCAAACTGCAAGGAAGTACTGTCTTCGAAAACAGCGACTGGAACCGACAGTAGTTTGGGCCTTGGGCTTGTACAAATCAGCTGTGATGTAGAGTCTGAACATGAGGCCCTGAACTTAACCCTTCATCCCAAGCACGAGGCAATCCAACTCGCTTACCCTGACAAATGCCTTGCTTTCCGAATGAACAACACTGCACACTATATCTCGCTTCCGAGTGGTGCACCAAGTGTTCATTCGCCCCAGCCAGCGCCTTGCCTTGGCTACGCTACATGATAATGATTGACAGGACCGAGACCGAGGGAGGTTTCAGAGGCAGGCCCTGGTGCAACGAGACGTGGTTTTGGAGCGTAGTTGCTTGCACACGGGCTCCAGCGTCAAGTTTTGCTGACGGATTCGAAATTTGCCGGCCTAGAATGAGCTGAATCGATGGCTCGAGGTGCAAAACTGCCAAGCTAACTACTGTATGAGCCGTCTGAAGACTGCGAGTGGGGAGAAACTCATGAAACTGAGACTGACGCACACAACACAGAATCCGAGCAGATGCTTTGTTCACCTCTCTCCGCAGCTCTTTCGTCTGGAACGGCATGAGGCCGCGGCCAGGAACCTCATCTCCTCCGCGTCCAGGCGAGGAGCCCCAGCACAGTCAACGAATTAGGTCACAGGTTCGCATCGAAGATAAGATGACACGTTGGGCAGTATGATAGCACTGCAATAAGTTGGTCATGACGCTCCATGATGGCATACTTGTTCAGGTCACCGACGCGATATCCGTACCTGGTTGGCCCCTCACATCCATGCGGACAGCTGATCTCGTTAGATACATGGTCAAAGCGATCAACCACCGTTCTGACTTCTTCGGGTGCTTTCTCTGCCGTTGCACGACATGCCAAAAACTCATCAATAACTGCCTTGGCAGCTGGACTCGAAGACGTCGGTGCTGTTCGCAACTGGTGAAACAACCGGTGTCCATCTGTCGTTCGCCGGCCAATCTGCCGTAAAGCCGAAACACACGCCCGAATATCACGCTGTTGCCGCTGCGCAAACTCTTCTTGCAGCAGCCTCTTCCACTCGGAATGAATGTCGATACCGTCCAACAACAGCGATGGTATCGGTGCTGCAGGTTCTGGGCATTTGCGTTTTGTGCCGCTTTGCGAAACTGCGCCTCTTCTCGATTCGGTTGCTGCGCGCCGTTGCTCAAACAGCTTCTTGAGACTGCTCCGGGGTGGCATGCTGTGCCATCGGAGACGCAGCGTGCTGGGGCTATAGGGAGGAGGGTTATGCTGGAAAGAAGCATCGGCAGAAGGTCGTAGTCCTAGAACTTTGCACGTCACCAAGGTCACGTAGCCACTTCTGTGTTTGTGCTTGACAACAGGGTGTGTGCAGGCTGAATGCCAATGGATGGGATGTAGAGGCTGCGGTATAAGCTCAAGCTTGCCAAACGGCTCGGAGTCTTGGATGCAATTGATGAGCAACGACATTGCAATCTGATAATCTGTGTGCTCGAAGTTATCGACGTTCAGGCTTTCAGCGGATCCTATTCAAACACTAACTCCCAAGGCTGGGGCAGTGTCCAGATCTCCTTGATCGAGATATCTCTGCACAAGCCTCGGCTCCGATGAGGTTTCTGATTGAAGACTTACTCCTTGGCAAGAAGGTGCAGATGCTCCAAGTCTGTCGTTGCCCGCTGGCGTAGCGTCCTGTAGGTGAATTGCTACAGCGAAAACACTCAAGTCACGAAATGCCAACGAAGATGCCACATCGAAGCGCAAAGGATCACATCATTCTCCCAAGAAGCTCTATGCAGAGCTGTAACGACACAAGAGATGGCTAGGGGAAGTGGGCAATTCTTAAAGTCGCTTGGGAACTCCACATGTTTTTTCAACCATCCAGCGATACTGCGTGGGTACTCCATTTTCCCATCCAAGCCTTTGTAGACCTAGGTGTTACTAGTCCGACAGCTCTCCCTCACCCCTGATGCTCGGGCTTCGGCGCGGTGTAACATCGAGCCTGGGGCTCGATGCCTTCGCCTTAGGGCGAAGCCCTAAAGGAGACCGGGAAACTCAGCCCGTTGAACTGACCTGACGCATTTTTACCAAAGCCTAGGCTTGGAGGGAGGTAAGGGGAATGCAAGGCTCCTCTGTCTGAGTTGCATTGTAAGCTCCGGACCAACCATCTGCATCATCCAGGCCTCCGCACCTTCTAAGTCGCCGGCCTCACGTGAGGGTCCTTCCCCCTTTCGGGGAAACCTAGTAGTCTATATGTCTTCGGTACTGCTGTCTTCCACAGTGCTATACAAGCCACTGGGACGATTATGATGGCCATGCGGAGCCTCAATTCTTGTGATGAGGGGAGCTGGGCCGGGGTTTTCTCGGCTCGGAAGATTAATCAATTAATCAGATATGAATAACTGCTTGACATGGTGGGCCTGCATGTGCGTTGAAGCTTGCTCGTTGGGATCCCAAGCTTAGGACGGAAGGCGCTCTAAAGCACCTTCTGTGAGACTTCAGACTCCTGCTCTCAAGCCTGGAAACAAAATCCTACACCTACACCATGGCAAACAAACGAAAATCCCAATACCGCAAGCGACTGCGCTGTCCATGCAAGTCTTGCACAGATCTCAAGCCTCCACGTGCGCGAGGAACACCTCAGCAAGGAGCAAATCGTCGAGGGACTTGGGTTTTGGGCTGGGGAACAACTCAACTCTTGTAGCCCAGATTTCGACCCAGAGGAAGGGAGACTGGGACTGAGCCCATGTGCTCCCTCTGGCCGTCTACAAACTCTCCACTAACAGTGGCCTCCGCGTAGGCAACGCTAATCTGGTCCAAAGGGAACTCGTTGTGCTTCCACCTTCGGACTTGTGAACGAGGGAGGCGGCGAGCCAAGCTTCTAGGCTTCGATCCCCACGATCATAAAGAAACAGAAAGAAATTGTTGCCAAAGGAACGCAGGAAAGGTGCCTAACGAAGGAGGAGCTTGCTTGAGGGCTACCTGCAGCTCTACAACGTGCCTCGCAGCCCGCTGCATATGGTCCACCCAGAACCTCGGGGGCTTCCGAGATCAAGCTCCAACATCTCGATGTCGGCATCCAAAATCAAACTAGACTCCGCACATTCCAACCGGCTTCGGCCACAAATAGCACGCGTGAAAGCCCCACATGTTGAAACAGCAGCCCTTGAATCCGAATCCAAGCCTGTATCATTATAGCGGTATTCGACCAGCCGAACCACTCTGCCCAACTCAGCTCGACCCTGCTAAAGGCCGAAACTGCCCACATCCTAAGGGTCGCCTGAGTCTCTATGTCTCTAAACTTCCCGACAAAGCTTCGAACAAGTGTCCGTGGTCCGAGCTCAGAAGTCAGACTTCGGAAACCGCAAATGTGGGCAACTGCAGCCAAGTCAAACCCGACTGCGTCCCGCCCCTCTTTCTCTCCTCTTGAGAACCTCGGAGGTCCTCGAGTCTTGAACCCCGGCCTAGACACGATCCGATTTCGGCCCCCTGTGCCACGATTGTGAAGCCAAAGCAACTCGGCAGAGGCCCAGTTGCCCGCTTTGGCGAGGGCGTTCAGAAGCATGTTGTAGGTGTAAACCTGAGTTGTCACTTGAAGGTCTCGCAAAATGGGTTCCAACCCTGGGGTTGAGTGGAAGATTCGGGATTCTGTTGTTGACAGATGCGGCTGTCGATACTGACAGGTCGAAGGTGGCCAACCTAGAAAAGACTGAGACTACGGATTCGGGCATAGGTGAAGGCAGCCCTGGCTGGCGCTGTAGTGTTTGGAAAATTCTGTTGGTCTATTCTCTATAGACCTCTTGTGCAGCAAGAGGATCTAAACAGCGAAGTATTGAGGAATTCAGGTTTTGTGTCGATGGTCAAGGTCTGGAATGGGATTTAGTTATGTCGTTGTATGCGATGCCAAGTGAATTCGCGAAGGGGGAGGATTTGTAACATATGTTGCTGCCCCAGCTTCCATTCCCGTGTGCTCCGCATCTCCCAACCGGAAGACTACATCTAGCCGCATCCATAACTACCAGGTCTTGCATGCTTGGCCGGAAGCCCCACGACAGCAGACCAGACAGCACGGAAACTACAGCAACACCCGCAACTTGAATGATGAAGTAGTTGTGGGGGTCCTTGGGGGGGTCCATTGCTTATCATGCTGTTGCAGGATAAGCAAGGATTGGGATAGCTTAGGGATTTGCCACGTGCAAGGTCTTAATAAGCACTTAACCTGGTCTTATTCGTCGCTTGTATGATATAAAGGCTGGAGAAGCAGCACTTAAACCAAGCATAACGACTAGAGGCTTAACCATCACTAAACCACGGTTTTCCCTACATTTATTTTGCTACGTGTATCATCTCTGAATGAGACGAATGTCACATATGTTCCAAAAAATGTGTCTTCAATGGCATGCTCAAGTTCACAGATCGCAGGATACAGGAAAATCACGTCCGTGTCCTTTTCAGCTGAAGGAGCATCTGGGGTCAGCCGATTTCGCAGCAAACGCCGGGCCATTCGCTCGGCCATCGCGGCATCGCCAGACTGGACGCAAGCCTCCCCCGCTCCCCCCACCCGGACTTGGCACCCGTCGGCTTGGGAGCCACCGTGGAGCCTGTCGTTGGCTCAAGACTTCCTTTGGCCCTCTGGTTCTCAAGCAGTGAAAACGCCGGGATTCCCTTTTTAGATTATCCAACAAAGCCGCATAGGAGACAAACGCATTGCAACCATTGTCTCCAAGACAGCCACATGGATGCCTAAAGAACTTTCAAGCTGAAATGCCGCACCTGAGCCACATGGCCAGCCCCGCCTTGATGATCTGCTTGTAGCAGTTGAGGTCTGGCTCAATGCCCGCCTGCATCAAGGAGTTAGCCCGTCGGATTTCAGTCAAAGGTGTTCCACAAAGTTCAGTTCAACATTGTTCATCTCCTTGACAGCGTCACGACATCGTGCTGGTGGCTGGGCAAACCCGTCCATCTCCACCACGCTTCCAGGGCACCGAGCTCCCCAAGCACAACGACAGTAGCCCCCGAAGTTTTTGACTCCAAACTTAGTGTCGGAACTCACGTAGCCGGCAAAAACGAGAAAGCAAGAAAGATTGCAGCGCGTATACAGGTCTTGGCAATCCAGGACCCTCTGTAACGAGCGCACGTGTAGATCTTTGTGCAAGAGCGGGTACACGGGGGAGGAATCGACATCTCAAGACAAGATTTTCGCCACGAAAGCTTCTGGGCAATGACTGCGCTGCAGCAAAGTCTTTGCATCCCATTGAGACTCTCAGGTTAGGTCAACATGCGTGGCTGGGTCCGAAAGGGTGCTCAGCCCATGTCCTACAAGGGTGCAAAACTGCCCATGCATGATTGCATAGCATCCTTCCCCGGATCAGCCAAGTGTTCTTGTGCTTTGCAGACGAGGCACAGGTGGTTCCAAACCCCAAACCCAAACACCAAGCTGTAACTCATCAAAAGCAGTAAGCATCTGCAATATCCTTCAAGCACAACTCATCACAACTCCCCACCGACACCATGTATCGTCAAAACAAAATATGGAACTTGAAACTGGCTGCACGAAGACTTTGCTCTTGCCTCCTCTGCTTGCAGCAGCCAGTCTCGCGCACCAATGGCATTTCCCGCCTGGTAGGGTTTGTCAGAACACGACCCGACAATATGCCCCTCCGGAGTACATGTGTGAGCTGCCGTCCACACGACTCGAAGGATTGAAAGAAGGTTCAGCAAGTAACCGGTATTCTCTCAGCCTTGCCTTCGCAAAGGCGCTGAGAAGAGTGCTGTAGGTTACCACGTCCTCGGATGTACAGGGAAAACTTCGCCCAACGGATACTGCTCTGCTCAATCTTCCTACCATGTCCTGCAGGTCGAGACATTGCACACTTCTCGTGCCTTCCGAAGGCCGGAGCTGAAGACGGGACCAGGCCACGACTTCAACATCTGCTTTTCCTACACTTCGTGAGAGGAGCCAGTAAAAGAAAACGTACCAAAACTCTTCATCGACACTCCCAGAGGTCGACCGGATTGCAAGAGTCACTGCCCTGCATATGCTGAGTTCCCAGGACGGCTATCACGAAATTGAGGGTAACAGATTGGGGGGATGTGATGGACAGCCGCGGCACAGGTCTGAGCTGGAGGTCTTCCATTCCTCAGCCACACAACTCATGCTCCTGCTGCAAACTTTCGCGTGACTCATACATACAAAGCGGATTGGAGGTCAGCTTCCAGCTGCAAGTATTCGCCGTTTCGCTGTAGGAGCGCGGTGATCAAGATCTACGAATCCACGACCGGGCTTTACGACAACTCAAACCACTTGTTGTCGCACAAAAACAAAGGAATCAGACCTTGCTCTGGCGGGGGCTGTTGCCTCTGCACGTCTGCTGCCTGTCGGTCATGAACATGCACCCGATCAAAAATGAATATTCATCACCACAGTACACGAAAACACGGTCAGGGGTCGGAGTAGCACGCCCTCTGCACCCGCCGTGTCGCCGCTGTTCGCAGCAGCAGACATCAGAATGTTGCAACCTCTTCGCTTCAGTCACAAATTTGCGGGTTGGTGTCTTGGCTTGGGGCTTCTCGCTACTGCGCAGCACCACACGTCATTCGCTGGAATGCGCTGTCGCAACTGGCCATCCCAACAGGAGTCGAAAGACTGCCTAGCAGGTGAGCCGACGGTCTTCTATCGGGGCTCCGTCATGGCTTTGGGGAAGAGCTTCTGGGTCATGCAGGATGGAGGCATCTATTTGAGGCCTATGGACTTCGGCGCTGAGGCAGATGATGTAATATAACCCAGGATGGCTACATAATTGACAGCATCAGAGCTTGGCCGGGATTTCATGTCGAATAATGTGTTGAGGCTGAGGCTGCGGCTGACAAGCTCTGGTCGCATGCCCTCGTCGAGCATCACTCTGAACCTGATCTGCGAAGACCAATATCCAGGTGGTATCAGGTGGTATACGGAGATCACTATCATGATTGGTACTTCGTGGCCGCTTCATGCCCCAACGAGCGGCCATGCTTCCGCGCCCTCCATGTCGCCCATCTTTCCATGTGCGGTCATGACCTGGGTCTGCAGGTGGCTGACCGCTAACCGGCCCCAAGGCTTCGGGCCAGGGCTACTCGGCAGGGCCCGACGTCCTGGGCCATACATGCCAGAGTATCTTTGGAAAGGAATGCGAAAGCAGAGGTGCCAGTTTGTGCCGCGCTTAGCTTTTGACTTCCAAGATGCGTCCTTGAAGCCTGCCAAGTTGAATCATCAGAAAGTGTGGGCTTCTGGGCGCTTAGAACTGCAGAGTTTCTGGCTTCCTCGGATTGAGTCGTGCCTTCAGTGCAAGCTACAAGGCGATGTATGTTCAGTGGCGCTCAACCCTGGAAACTTAAAATGTCAAGAAGAACCGAATGCTTTTCACGCAAAGGCTCGGCGTGGAAATGGGGCACCCATGGCTGCAGGCCCGCCTGGCTGATTCGAGGCTTAAGCCTGGGAGCTTAGGAAATCAGCATGTAATACCTGGGTCTACAGTTGGATGATGTGCTCTAGCTTCATCTCAAGGTACAGAGTATGCAGTGCGTGAACTTCCTGTTGAGGTGTTGGCAGTGTTGATATTGGAGTCGCTCATCCTACCCTCGCTGAGGTTCGCCGGTGCCGACAACGAAGCCTGAATTCGCCCTGTCCCTCGAACCCTGAACTCGAGAAAAGCAGTGCATGAAAGGGATTCCCCATGAAGGCTCTCCACCTCGGACATGCGCCGGAGCCAATCGGCTGCACCTCGCAACACGGCAAAAGCGGGAGTACACGGAGCCGTTGGGGTATATGACCGTGTACGTGTCACAAGCCTGGTTCTGACCCTTTCCTGCCTCAGGATGTGGAACAACTTGAATCAGGGTTGAAGCTTGCAGATGCAGGAAAAGAAGGCTCCATGTTTCGGAATGGGCATGCTCAGGAAGTTGTGCTTTCGTTGGCGTGGCTGAGGGTGACAGAAGTACAAGTAAAGATTATTTATGAGGTCGGAATGGTGCTCTCCGGTCTGAAGCATCACGGGGTCACAGCTTCCGGCAGACGTCGGAAGAGACATGCTTCCTCCAAGGCTTCGTATAAGGCTTGCGACATGACTTATGAAGCGCATATCCATTGCTCAAAAACCTCGGGACAGCTCGGTAAGCCTCGAGCAGCCTCAAGAGTCGTGTGCTCTCGACAACCTTAAGGCCTATAAGGACTTCAAACCCACAGCTTCTCAAATCCGAAAAGTTCTGAAGCCGCCCACAGATGCCCTAGAAATAAGCCATCTTCTGAAAGCCTAAGCGCATTTCCTTACCTCCCACCTTCTGGATCAGACACGGATGCTGCCACCCGGATCATCTGCAGATATGTGGTGGCATCTGGCTTCGCCTCGGTGCTGTGGCTTTACCGTTCAAGCCAAGGAGGTATTGACTTAGAATTTTGGTGTGAGGGTTCCGGCCTTGGCCCATCCCCCCCCCCCCCCCACCCCTTCCTGGGAAAACCTTCCACCTCTACAACCTCCAACTCAAGACCTGAAAGCCTCACAAACGCAGAGGCCTTGCACAGTGAACCATCCGAACTCCGAAATGGATTTTGGCTCATGATGTCGAACCCAAGACGGTGAACTTTAAAGACGAGCTTCCATCGTTTTGAAGAGCTTCTCTGCCTTTTCCGCCTCATGCACAGGAATGCCGGGTCGCTGGCAGTCGCTGCTGCACATTGAGTTGAGATTCGGCAATACGGGATCGGGCCGAGTTCAACGTCAGGGTCCTCAGCTTGCTACTGGTAGTGCCTTCTACCCTAAGTTTACTAGAAGGCTCAGAGACAGGGGCTTTGAGGATGGACTGTCGCGCCTGCTCCTTCTGAGCATAGGCTTTCAGCAGCGTGTTGTGCGCGAAGGTGTTGCTTGCCTGGCGGCGACTCTAAAAGGTTTGGGCAATGAAGACGACGGGGCCTCGTGAATAAAAGTTGCCAAAGTCCACCAACCCCCGACCCTAGAAGATATGCCTCTTTCCAACCGACTGACAGATTTCGGACTTTACAATGCACAACTTGGTCATCCCTCTAAGGTGATAGTTGGGACCTCTACAAGGTGCCAGCCCTGCTCTCAGGAAGCCATGGGCACTTTTTCGGGACATCCGCTAGTAGCGGCTGCAAGATTATGCCGAGTCTCGTCTGTCACTTCCATCTTGCTGAACACCCGCTCCTGAATAAAGAGATGCAATCGGCAACCCCCCATTCCAAGCAGACAAGCAGACGAGAAGTAGCCTTGCAGCTCAAACCTCACACCAAACCCGCGAAGCCAAGATGGCTACGTTGAGACTTCCGAGCTCAGTATATCTTGGAACGAGCGGAGCGAAGTTTCGACTTCATAGGGTCTAAGCAGAACCTGTCCCGGGCTGCAAACAGGGTAGCTGCTAGCTGAAGAAAGGAGCCTTGAAACCCTCACGTTTCAAATTGGCTGAAACGTTTCAAGGCTACTGCAACAATCAATCGACACACAGTCTTGCAGCATTGCCAGGCGTCACCAGATCCAATTTCTGAAGAAGCATGCTCATGCTGAAGTTCCGAAGCCAAGTCGCAGCACCCTCAATGTCATCCGCAACAACATACGCCTGGACTATGCCGACTTCGGATTTGAGGCTTTCGGAGCTGTTTTGGGGGCTTCGCTGCAGTTCTTTTCGGGACCCTTGCAGGGGAAGGTCTGCTGAATGAGGATCTGATGGGTCGACGTTGGTGGGCCCAGTGCCGGTGGCTCTTCGACATACTCTAAACCCAACCAGGTAGGAAGGACCAAGGAGCCTGCACCAAAGAGCTGTAGCCTGAGCTTGCAAGATGGGAAATACGAAAAGTGAACTGCCTAAGTCTAAAGCTTTAATATGCAAGAACGCATCCCATGCAAGTCATCCCTGTGCGGGCTGTTCCTCCACCTGACATTGCCCTCGACATCCAGTTGAAACTTGAAGTTGCGTCTGCCATACATCATATCTTAGATAGTACCCTGCCCAGAGCAGAGCCGGGCTTACAATTAAAAGCCTCCAGTCATGGCAGGTGGCTGTACATGTCTGGAGCGACACCTCGAGCCCGCATGCGCCGGATCCACTTCTCTGCCTCTGTGAAAACAAAACTGTTACCAGCCAGCACTTCCTAGGCATTCAACCCTGCTGAGCTTCGCCATAACCCCGTGAAGCAACCCTGAGAAGACAGCCTCATCCAAATCGTTTTCAACCCATGCTCTAACTTCCACATGCAAACCTTTCGACTGAGTCTAGATCCTTCAACCAATCAAAATCGCTGCAGAAGGAGTAAGCTTATGTTGCAGACTGCTGCAAGTCCTTCTTTCTCTAAGCCAGGTTGCGTACACTGTTGAAGTTTTGGATAGTTTCGATGCCTTGCGATGCGAAAAGCTGCAATCGCCCTTATCCTTGCCTTGAGAAAATCTCCGCGCCGGCCGTAGCACTTCAGCAAGGTGTTGTAGCCTCGTCTCTGCATTCCACACATGCGTTTTGTTTCAAGATCTGAAGGTTTGTCCCAGATGCCCTGAACCTTCCAAACCGGCAAAGCCCTGAGGTGCGGACTTGTGACTTTGCAGAAAAACAAAGCACGGAAGGTTCGTAAACCAACCCGTTCAAAGCCCAAGACCTCAAGAACCCTGCAGTCAAGCTGCTGTAGATGTCGGGCTGGAAGACACGATTCAACATGTCCTGGACAATGCCCAGCAGGGCTTCAGGGTGCGAGCACGTCCTCCATCAGCCCGGAAACGTGTCATTCCAGCATGCACTTCTCAATCCTGCACCATCAGCTCCTCAAGCCACAGTCAAGCGTTTCAGGTTTTCACGGCCTACAGCCCCGAAAATGCATACAACAATTATGCAACAGCAGTAGCAGTAGCACTGATAAGAATGCAAGGCTGAGAAAGACTCTGCTCACTTTCGACTTTGCGTGTGCACCTTGACCCAGCTCTCGGCGGCCATGGGACGGTTTGCATTCACGTGAGCCTGGCCGCAATTGGGTCCGTCAGCTTCGGATTTACAGGCGTGCGGGTTCAGGGCCTAAGGTTTCTGGATTTCTGGTGTTCGGACCTCCAATCGGGGGAGTTTATTCAGGCTAAGCAGGGTATGAGAAACAGCGACCGGTAGTCAATGAATAGAAGGCCAACTTAGCTTCGGGCCTTGATCATCTGGTTCCACATCCTCCGACCCAGAGGCAGCCGCAGATGACGTCTTCTCCAGATGCCTTAGGTGGTTGGCTTCTGTGCAGATCGGATCAACCTGGCCATTTGAGCCGGTGCCACGTGCACACCATCCCGAACGGCTGCCACTAAGTCTTGAAGCCCTGGTGCATCTTTTCTCACTCACCTGCTTGAGATAAGACAGCTACTGGTAAGATACGATTGTAATCGCTCGTCTTTCAAGACTGCGTGCGGCTGGAGCGTTCCCTCTCGTCGTTGATTCCCTAACCAAGACCCTACCTCTGAACTCTGAATCTAATACTCAGGCCCTCAACCCTAAGCCCAAACATTTAAGGAAAAAGACAAGGCACCCTTCATGATGTACCGCGCCTGTCTCCACTCGCCATTGTCGGCCTTTGATCGGAAGGGAGAAGTTTGGTCTCTGAGTTTGCCGAGTCCCCAGTCCCTAGTCCCCAGTCAAGGCGGATCGCATTGCTAGGGCATGCGTTTGCGCATGAGGCAACTTGTACTCATGCAACTTTGCTACCAACTGCGCTGCCGCCCGCCCTTTTGGAGCAGCTCTGTCCCAATGAAACATGAGGAACTTGAAACACTGGCCCTCAAGAATCAAAAACGAGAACCTTCGATTCCCTTGCAAGCTCAATGCAATAGCTGCACTACCCACTCAAAGCTCACGGCTCGGGGAACCTAGGCTACGGGTCGGAGGATTCATGAAGCACGGAAAGCACTCCAAATTCGTCTTGGCGGCATGCTCCGAGAGCATGTTCAGCCGATCTTTCCTGGCAGGTAGTAGGGGCGAGCTTCGGTGTTCAAGCTGCACTGTCTTCGGACCTTTAATTCCAATGGAATCGGGGGTTTCCCCCGCCGAAACTCCAAGCCACAGTCCAGGTGCACGTTAGGCTCTTGCATGGTGCGGTAGAGGTCTAGTGATTCTCGCTCTAGCTTAAGGCTTGAGGTTTCCGCAATGCTCAAAAGATGCTTCTGAAGGACTACTGACAGCACAATCATATGCCGGGTCATGTGCACATACCCCATGCCCTAAATATGTTATAGACTCATTTCAACCAGGCCGCAGTGTGATGACCATCTGGTTGCTGGGCATGCCACGCGCATACATAAGATCGCGCCTGCCACCTTTCATCCTGGGTCCGAGGGCTCAGGGTGGACACTTGAGGGTCTCGAACACGTAAGCAAAGAGTACTGTGAGAACTTCTCTCGCATACATTTCTTCGACTGAACTTGGGACTTTGTGGCTCGCAACGAAGTTCGTAGTGTAGACCCCACTCATTCAGCACCATGACGCTGCACTTCGATTAAGGTCTAGCTGCTCCTTGAAGGTGTCCAACTCCTTGGTGGCGTCCTTCTCGAATGGGTCGATCGGGACCTGAGTCAAAGGCTACTACAGGTCTCACTTTCCCAAAACCCATCAATGTTGGGCATGTCGCTGTCATTCTTACTGCCGTGTTGGATGCTGGCCGTGCAGTCCAGAGCTTACGAATTCGCGCTTGGGCAGGGTTCGCAATTCGCTCATCAACGGCACAAAGTCCCGAACTAGCCCCCATATCCCATGAACTTTGCAAATCGAAAGCCGTCATTTCACGCCAGCTTGAACAAGTCCCTCTGGGTTGAGAACCGTTCCAGGCTCCTTCGCAACGATGGGCTGAGCGTTGAACTCGGCCAGGAACTCACTGACCTGCGTTTTGTCTGATTCGACCCTGGGGCTTCACTCACATATATGTCCATTTCGGACTTGAGGGTTTCGCGCATGGTGGGCGTGCCTGCCAATTCTGTCTCATGTCGACCGTGACAGGACCCACCTATTCCCGAACCTCCTGTCTCCTAATTATTGGTGCGCAACCTCGCGCTCCTCACCATCTTCAGTTTCACAAGAGCCTGCGTAAAGCCTGAACATGCTTCCTTTTGGCTCAACAAGCCTGTAACGTGAATATAGCTACACATGCACAGCCGGAAGTCGCTAGCACCGAGGCGCACACTTTCCTGTTACGTCCGTCCAGTGCTTGGAAAGTTGGGCCTCGTCATCACTGACCTCCACCGCCTTCATCAACGCCTGGAAATAGGGGATTCAGACAGGCTTGCACAGGATCCGAAGGCCCAATACCGATCAACGGCATGCCATTGAGGCTGCAATAATATGCAGTGCCTTCGAGGATACATGAGGCAGGGTTTCGACGGTGGCACTCTCGGCCCGGACGGAAAGAAAGTTCAGAAACCTCAGTGCCAACCCTTCACCCGATACCTCAACTTGAAGGCTGGTGTCTTCAAGTTAGTTCAGATAGGCACAGGACCAAGACGTTGATCACGCGGTCGGTTAATCTCCAGCTTTTTTGGCGAGTGGCTGCTTCGTCTGCTGGCTCCTCTTCCTCCAGCTCCTCCAGCTGCGACCGCCCAACCTGCCCACTGTTCTTCTGACAAGTTGAGATCCAAGCCTCGGAGTTGATACGTCACACCCTGGACACGCGAACCCCGATGTTTGACGTTTGACATGGGGAACTTGAACCACGACTCGGCACATCGCAGCAGCCAGGGTTTGCAGGGATCCATCGGCCTCTTCGAAAGGTAGAACCCAACGAGTGCTTACGCCGGACACCCGGATAATGTTGTCGTGCGCGAATAAGAGCTACATGCGAAACCCGCGGCAGAAACTCACTTCTAGGCTGCACATGCCTCCATGTCCTCATACTCTGCATCAAGCTCCATATCCTTGCTGCAGAGGTCGGGATGCTTGGCAGTTTTGTGCAACTCCGAAGAACACCTCCATTGTTGCTGCCTGAAATCTGCCAGGACCCAGATCTTATTAGCGCCGAAGCCTGCGGTATGAGCACAATTGACCACGAGCTTCCCTACACTCACCCGACACTCTTCCTTCAGGAGCCTGTCAATGATGACAAACGCGGTGAGAGGCAAGGCGGGACTTTTGCAGACACTGCCATAAAACTCGTGGCAATGACTGGCAAGAAACAGAAAGCGATACTCATAATGCTAGCTTCTCACAGCTCTCAAGTCTGAGACTCTGCGGAGGAGCCTTCTTGACTCTGAGGTTTGCATCAAAACCCGAAGCCCGCAAGTTCAACTGGGGGTTTGGGCTTCATGGTAACCCTAAGCCAAGCATGAATTAAGCTGAACTTGACACTCATCCAGGCTCGAGTGGTCAGATTACAATCCCAAGTATCCTGAAAGCTTGAGGAGAGTTAGGGCCTCGGGTTTCAAGGTCTGCAGCTTTAGATGGCCTTAGTCTGGGGAGCTTTGGGTTTGGGCTCGAGGTTGGGATTCGGATTTCAAACTCGAAGCCCTGAGCGGGCACTACACAAACCCGCCCCCAAGCCTCAACGTAAGAATTGTTCGTAATATCCTATGACTGTATGACCTAAGAAATAGCCAAGCCCCTTGAGCCCTCAGAAATCTTCTGTGCAGCATAGCTTCGTCCCACTCGCTCGGATCGAACTCGAGTGCCTCCTCTCCTTCTTCCTCGTCTAATGTTTCGGGGCTTAGGTGACGAAGGCCTTATAATGGATGAGAACGAGCGTAAACAAAGACCGAGAAAGGATAATTTGATATAGTCTTCTGATGCTGTGCCCTGCCTCGCCCTCTTACTGTTGCCGTCAGAACTGAACCTTTGCATGAAGGCGGATCACCGCATACGCAACAAGCGTGTCGGCATTGGACTTTAACCTCTTGGCTCTTTCACTGGAACTATGTTCCAAACCCCACATGCCAATCTCACCGAATCATTGGCCTGCAGAAAACCAACATACTAGACAACAAAACGCCGAAGACCTGAAGCCTCAAACTTGCAATCCTCATCCTCATCCTCCAGACTCAAATCGATGGAGGACAACCTCTCCATCATGTCGTCCGGGACCTCGAGGTCAAGATCAAGTCTACAACCCAGCTTGGAGGTTGCAGGGTGTTGGGCGGGAGGGAGTCAGTTGTATGCGTTGCCGGAGTGCTAGAGGAGTCTGACCTTCGCTGCAGGTCCGGCATTGAGCATTGTTCGAGACTTCGGCCTGAAATCCATCTTCAGCTGCAGGTTTCGAGGCACAGTCCAGGCCCCAAAATACGAAAAGCTGCAGAACTCCAGACTGAACTCCGAAGCTTCTGGCCTGGTTGGTTGGAGCTTCGAAATCCTCCTGCTCTTCCAGCTCCTGACGTGACCATAGGGGCGCCGGGTCGAGGGCTTTGGCCAATTTCGGGGCAGCCCCAAGCCTCGGCATAACACGACCGATGCTGAAGTCTACCGATTTAAACGCGCTTTTCGCTCGGGCTGCTAGGGCCGCTAGGGGTTCCGCGCTTGAAGACAGAAGCGTCCACGGAGCCTGAGCTTGCTTGGTGGTATTTGTGCATAGCTGCGCATACACCAGAGGAAGGGACTGTGCTCGGGAGCGCTTGTTGCGACCATGTTGGCCAGAAGTCGCGCCTGCAAATTCAGCGAGCCGGCCCCCACCCGTTCCTGCACCCTGATCTTCAGTCAGTCCTCAGACTCAAACCCCACTGCTTAAGCCCATCACCAAACCCTGAGCCTTAAGCAAGGAAATCCCAAACCCTTAGCTCGAAACTTGCCACAGGCAGGCAACGCACTAGGTGACACATAGATGACCCCACGACATTCCCACCCCTTCCGTTGATCCGGCTGGTTCGTCTATGTCCTTTGGCGCCTGCTAAATTCACCGTGGGAAGGTATGTCCAGATGCTTTCCCGAAAGTCTCGAGGCATCAACCTGAGCCCAATTACCGAATCCTTTGCAGAACCGTCAAACCAGTGAAAAAGGGCGCGCCCGAGAAAACAATGTGCAGCAGCCCCAGCTTGCAGGCAATAAGTCAATGTGTACGGTATTGAATCAGCCCAGCATTGACCAACCCGGCATTCTCTTTTGGGCACCTCCGCGGCGCTTCGGCAGGTCTTCCAGGACCGCTCGCCCTCGGTGCGGCTTGGCTGGGGTGTTGGGATTTCGTCTTGGAGTTCCTGGATTTCCTGGGCAGCCCAGAACTCGCTGATTCCTAGCTTTGAGGTCGAGCTACTGGCAAATCAGCAGCGCGAACTACTCGTTTGAATAAAAACTCAAAGACCAAAGAATCAAGAACTTAAAAACGCCCCAGGTTGTCTTCGAAGGCCTGGGGCCCCCAGCCCTGAGGGCCCCTGCCCGGGCGTCCGCCTTCCGCCTGTCTTTGCGTGCTTTAGGGATGGTAGTGTTTCGGGCGCGAGGTTGTGGGTTATTTTGAACTGGTTGGCTGGTCGTTCTCTGTGTTTCTTTTTTGTGGCAAGGGTGGTTGTATAAAGTTGGGCCTCCATCATCGCATGCTTCTCACCCTCGCAGGTCTTCAGCCACTTCTGATAGATTACGCATTTGTCAGTGCAAGTGCAGCACATACCTTAAGCCTATAGCGTCGTTAAACAGCATCTTTCGACTTCTATAACGGTTTCCCAAATATGCTTCGAGATTCCTTCCAAACCTTGCTGTGTACGGAGCCTCTTCGCCACAACGCCTGCCACCAACACAGTGGCAGCTACGGGTGCTGACCGCCCACCTGGAGAGCGGAGGAAGCAAGACTTCGAGGTTCAGTGTTCCGGTAGGTTTGCAAGGCTTAGTGATTTCGCAGGGAGACAACTCTGTTACTTCACCCTGAAGTGAGCCCCAAGCTAAATCCGAATTTCAAGCATTGCAGTGCAAACAGCCAGTGGCTCCAGCCCAACAACTGCTGTCCGGTTCTTCCGTCGTCAACGGACCTCTGAAAACAACCGGAGGCCCTCACATCCTAAACCCCCAAACCTCCAGAGCCCCAAACCAGCCTGCAAACCAACATGCTGTTCTGTTCGAGGCCTCGCTGCGGAGCCTCGCGCAGAGCCCGCCCCGACTTTGACACGAGCCTGCAGTTGGTTGCAGATGAGGGTCCATGGCAGGGGCTTCGAGCGCAAGAGTCCGGCGTTGGGGTCCTCGGTCCTAGCATAGGATGGCTTCTGGAACATTAAGCTGCATGTTGCAGCTATAAATGAGTTGCCAGCTGAGTTGCCGAGATGCCTC